TGATAACTAGGAAGGCAGAAGGGAAGCCAGCCAGGGGAGCAGCTGGAGCGCTGCAGGGAGTGGGGTGCAGGACCAGAGGAAGCTGACAGTGGCAAGGCCGGAGAGGCCTGGTGGGGTCGGGCACCAGGTGAGCAGTGTGGCTGCTCCTAGCACAGCTGAGGCGACTGCAGGGGCCGCTGTGGGGGTCAGGATGTGGCTGCGACAGCAGTGCAGGGAGAGGGAAGAGCCCCCACCCCAAGCCCCGCGGAGTGAACGCCCACGGGGTGCGAGCGGGACAGGGCAGAGGAGGGTCTGGTGGGCGCAGGCACTGAGGAGGGGACACAGGGCCCTGAGGCGGGGGCAGAGTCTCCAGAGTCCCCGAGGGCGATCTCCGCAGTGGGGTCCCCATCCCCTCCCCCAGGGTCCCTGGCTGCGCTGCCCTCTTCTCCAGATCCGCCCAGGTGGACACTGCTCTTATCCCCACGCACTGAGGTTCTGAAAAGGAAACAGAGTCCCAGAGAATCTGCCTGGGTGCGGAGCAGAATCAGGACCTGACGCCCTCACTCCACCCAGGGCCCCAGCCACCCCGCTGTCCTGCAGATCCAATCATATGCGGACCCGGGAGGGGACCCCAACCTCGCTGCCCGGCCCCTGCAGACAGCGCGGGACGCTCCCAGGTGCCACCACCAGGTGGCGCGCGGGCTGCTGGTGTCGGTGTCGGTGTCCGCTCGAGCGGAGACCCTGGGCGGTGGCCCTCGCTCCTCCTGGTTCCCCCGCGGGGCAGCCTGGGGCTCTCGGGAATCTGAGAGGCCGAGAAATGCAGATTCGGTGCTCACTGAGGCCTCATAGGACGGCGGAAGCTGTTGTGACTCTCAGGTTGCAGATGAGGAAACTGAGGCCCAGAGAAGGGAGTCGCACCACTCCACGAGGGGCCTCCAGTGTAAGAGAAAGGTGGGGATTAAAGGTGGATAGCGGTCCCCAAAACCAAGGGGCGCCCCCCCCCCGCAAGGAATAAGGCTCGAGGGCGACGGTGACCCCCAGGGCTTCAGCCCTCTGCCCCCAGCCACGGATGCCCTGGAGCGCACACTGCTCCCCAAACCTCTGTCAGCCCGGTGCACAGAGGGCAGAGCCTGGGCCCTGCGGGGGCCGAGTTCATGGTCACTGAGCTGGGTGGGCAGGGATGGCTTGGCAGGGGACAGTGACTGGACAGGAAAGCCCCCTCACCAAGGGGACCCCCCCACACACACCGGAGCCAGGGCAGCGGAGGAAGGGACGCTGTTTTTTGTTTGGTTGGTTGGTTTTTTTGGTACCGGGGATCGAACTCGGGACCTTGCGCTTGCGAGGCAGGCGCCGGAACCACTGAGCTAAATCCCCGGCCCAAAGGGACGTTGTTTTGTGCCGTGCCTTTGAGATGACCCAGGTCCTCCTGAGGGACTCGTCTCTTGCACCCGCGTGAGGTTCCTCTCTGCAGCCCGGCGCAAGCAAACCCAGCCGGCAAGACCCGTAGCCTACACGGCAGGAAGGGCTTCCCGGCAGGGCAAGGAGAGCTTCCCCAGTTCCAGCTGCCGCTCAGCAGAATGGGCTCCTTGGGCGCAGTAAGCGAGGTTTCTGGAGTTGTGAGCAGCGGAGGCAGAGATCAAGGCCAAATGGAGAGGCAGAAACGGCTCCAGGGCCCCTGGCCGGGGTGGTGAGGCGCAGGAAGGCAGGGGCCACGGAGCACAGAGCCAGGTGCCTAGATTTCATCCGGAGGCGACAGGGGAGCGGGCTGTGTGTGCCAGGGCCGGGCTGAGGGGTCAGGAGCTGGACCAGGAGCTGGGTGGTGACTTGGGGGCGCCCTGGCTGAGTGGGAAGAGTAGGTTGAGGGGGTGAGCGGGGTGGGAGGGGCTCAAACGGGTCTGAAGGCTGCTGGAAGGCAGGCTGGGCCCGAGGGGTCCCGCAGGGTGGAGCCCCGAAGGTTGGGGTCGCTGGGGACTTGCAGTGGTGACAACCTGGCGGGACAACCTTGGCCAGCCCCTCCCGACAGAGCTGTCCCCAAGGAGGCGGCGGAGGGGGGTTGGGGACACAGGCTGGGGCCTCGGGAGGGAGCGAGGGTCAGACCTCTCCCCTGGAGCCTGCGCAGGAGGGGGAGGGGAGGCTGGCTGGGGGAGGGGAGGGGAGGCGGGCGGGGGCGGGGCCGGGCCTCTGTCCACAGCATTAGTGCTGCTTGGAGAGGCGAGGGGGGTGCGGAGCCAGCCGGGCCGCCCGTTCCCACAGCAGCGGGCAGAGCGGAGCTGCCATGGCGCTGGCTGGGCCTGTGACCCGGGACTCCAAGACCCTGCACCCTCTGCTGCTGCTGCTGCTTCTGCTGCTGCCCTGGTCCCCCGCCCTCGCCCTGGTGGCTGGTGAGTGGGGGCCGCGCCTGGGGAGTGAGGTCTGTCCCTGGGGCGGCCCTGGCTGGGACTGAGGGCCGCCGGCCCGCCTGGTGCCAGGACCCAGTGGCAGAGTGTGGGCTGTGGGCCTCTGAACTCGTGCGGGGCTCTGCGCCCTGGGACTTGGGGCAGCACCCGCCGGGGGGGTGGGGTGGGCACTGGGTGTGACACCTCCTGGGAGGGGGTGTTGGGGCTGGGGTGCTCTGGGGTGTGAGGGACGGAGTCTGGGGAGTTGCTGGGATCGTGGCTCGCCCGGACTCTGCTCTGAGTTGCGGCGCTGGGCTGGGCCACCAGTGGGGTGTAAAAGTTGAGGGGTGGATGAGCCGGGGGTTGTGCCGAGGTGACTGGGCTCGGTGGGCCATGTCCGGTGCTGCTGAGGGGTATCAGTTGTCCAGCGGGCTGAACTGGGCCTTCACTGGAGATGGGGTCCTGGAGGGGCAGGGGGCCCAGCTCAGTGGAAGGGGAGAGGCCTTGGGAAGCCTGCACCTGCCCCTCGTTGTTGCGGACTCCCTGCCTGTGGCCGGCAGCTGGGGAGGCTGGGGCTCCTCTGGGTCCCTGGGAGTGGGGGGATCTGAGAATACATGTGTGTCCCCTGCTGCCCTCCCTGGCCATCCCAGACTCAGCTGGAAGGGTCACCTGAAGCCAGACCTGGACGGCCGAGACTTTTTGCTTTTGTTCAAGTGGACACATGTATGCATGGAGCCTGGAATTCGTACTGGGGCCCCAGGACATTTTGTCCTGGGCACTGCAGCTACGTGCGCCAGGCCTGGGAAGTCCCCTCTCCCCGCCACCTCCAGCTGGTGAAACTGGCTTGCGCTTTCTGTGGCCAGGAAGCCAGCTCCTGACCCCAGCCCTACAGGGGTGTCTCTGACCTGCCCTGGGGACCGTGTGCTGTGTGCTCAGAGCTTCCTCTCCTGTTCTTCTCCTTGGGCCACCAGGGAGGATGAGGACCCCATTTTGTAGGGAAGGAAACCAAGGGTCAGGGAGGGGTGGGGGCTTAAGAGCTGGGTCCCCGAGGTGACTCGGGCCCACGAGAGGATCTGAGGGCTGCTTTCTGCACACAAGGGACATGAAATCCCACTCTGTGGGTCCAGCCTGTCCACGCCCTGCAGAACACACATGTACACATGTGTGCACACCTTGCACATCTGTGTGCCATGGACTGGGCACACACTGCCACATGAGCAGCTGCCACAGGCACATGTAGGCCTTCCAAATGTGACCTGACACACATATACACTCCACAGACCATTCCACGCATGCATGCATGAGGCTGTCCACATGAACGCCAGGCAGGGTGGACACAAAGCGGATCAGAGTGTAGAAGGGGAGGTATGCTGACCCCATGGCCTCCCTCTTCCTCTGAGTCTTTTGCACAGGGAGCCCCATCCCTGGGGATCCCCAGAAGCTGGAGTGGGGACACTGCTGGCATGAGGGTTTCTGGATCCCATTACCCAGAGCCTGACTGCAGGGAGGGGTGGGACTGGGGACTGTGTCACTGGAAAACTAATTTCCATCCCAGAAGAGGTGAAGTTGTGCTGCCAGCCCTGAGCTGGGCCCCACCATCCCGAGCCACTCCGCCTCAGCGGCCAGCTGGTTGCTATGGAGAGGACCAAGCATCTTGGAGCACAATGGGCCCCCCCTTCCCGAACACCCAGCGAGTCCAGCAGACAAAGGGGCAGCCAGTCTGGTCCCCATGGCTGTCCCCTCCTCCAACCAGCAGGGAGTGGGGCCTCGGGTACGGAGCAGGGATTGGGTGGGAAGCCACATGCACTTGCCCCAGCGTCAGGGTGCTTGACGTTCACCTCCACAGAGGTTTGTTGATGAGTGAATCATAGCCACCACTACAGCAGGTGCAGTGCTGTGGGGCCACCGGGCTTGGCTTTAATCCTCCCCACAGCCGGCGAGGTCAGCGCTGATACCCCTGTCTACACAGGAGGTAGAGGAAGCCAGAGAGGCCACGACTTGCCCCGAGCCACAGGGCGCATGTGTGCCCGGGCCAGGGTGTCATTGCTGATGGTGGCTCTCGCCTTCGGAAAGTCAGTCTTGCCTCTGCGAGACAGGACACAAACTTCACTCTGAGGCAGGACAAGAACTCCAGGCAGTGGGTCTCCGACCTTGAATTTGGTATGGAACTCCAACTTCAAAGGAAATTTTAGAGAGAAGTTTAACAGCGAGGTCGTTAAAAGTGGCCTGGACAGGTGGCGGGTTCAGATTCACCCACCCTTGAGGCGGGTCCCAGTGCTCTGAGACCACAGCTCGGAAACCCTGGGACTCACCAGTGCCAGGCAGAGAGGCTGCTAGCATCAAATGATTCCTGCTAGCCTCGCGATGTGAACACGTCTGACAGAGAGTACTCCAGACTTTGCCAGCTTTTAGAATCTGTGCCCTTTCCCGATGAGCCTGAGTGGGCACTGCAGTGAACCTGAACCCTTCCCCAGCCCCACTCTGCGCCCAGCCATGGCAGGGGACACAGTTTCCCCTCTCAATAGAAGATGCTCCCACACCCGAGGAGCCGGCAGGTTGGTCCTTGGAAATATGTTCCCTCATGCCTTGTCCAGACAGGCAGCTTCCCTGAATCAACCCTTTAGCACTTGTAATCCTTCGGGAGCTGACTCAACCTGCAGGAGTGAAGACCCCGAGGGAGGGAGGGAGGGAGGGTCTGCTCAGAGGAGGCTTCGGGCTCCAACCAGGATCCTTGCGGTGTCCGGATGGAACCCACAGCCTCTGGTACATTAGCCAGTGCTGCCGGTGAGCCACACTGAAGCCCCTGGACCTCCATTCTGAGAAAACCTGTTAGAGACTCTCCTGGTGCAAGTGTGAGGCTGGGGTCGATGCACTAAGACCAAGATGTGAAGGTGGTAGTTTCACCGCAGTGGCAGAACTCTGAAGATCTGGTTCTTAGCTCTTGGAGGGATGATCCTGGGCATTTTTTGTTCCCTTGGAGACAGAGTCTTGCTATGGTTCAGGCTGGTCTTGAACTCACTATGTACCCCAGGCTGGCCTCGAACTTGTGGTGATCCTCCCATCTCAGCCTCCAGAGTGCTAGGATTACAGGGAGTGTTGGAATTACAGGCAAGAACCACTGTGGCTGATCCTGGGCAATTTTATCAACCTCTTTGCCTTAAGAAGTAGAAGTTTTCTAACAGCCCCCCCTTCTGGTTCCAACCAAATATAACAACGTAATAATAAACGCACAGTCCTAGCTCATAGTGGGCACAAAGTGAATGGATCTGTCCCGCCCGCCTCCCCTGGGGGCAGGCGGCAGGTCTAGGACAGGGGCTGCGTCCGTTAATTCCTCCCCTGCCAGGTCAGCCCAGGCAGCCCCAGAGGTCAGGAGGGATTTGTAAAGATAAGCACAGGCCCCTCGTCGCCCTGGCAACAGGCCCCGCCCCTCCAGCCTGGCCGGGGACAGCCCCGCCCCTGCGCGCCTTCTCCCTACTGTGAGCCGGCCTGGCCTCCCGGGCTCCCCCAGATACGCTGAGGACCAGGGTTCCAGCCCCTCGGTGCGCAAAGAATCCCCGGGAACAGGTGCAATGGCTCCGGACCGATAGGTCTCGAGTGGGCTCCGGGTCACTCTGGAAAGCCCTGACCGGGGACTCTGGAGCAGCGAGAACTCGATTCTGATTCCAGCCCTCCTCGGGCTGTGGGACCAGGAAGTGGCTTCTTCCCCGAGTTTCACGTTTCTCTGAGGATGGACTGCTCTGGGCCTGGGAGGACCCCAAGCGGCCAGGACCCCAGGGAGGGCAGACTGCAAGGAGAGCCCCCTCCCCACCTGGCGCTGTGTCCCAGACCAGTCCCTGATGCCCTCACTAGGAGGGCTTGGAACTGGGGCCCAGTTCCAGGCTGGTGTGGGGGCCCCTTGGGCCACGCAGGTGAGGAGCGGAGCCCTGCTGAGGTTAAGACGGGGTGCTCTTTGCACCGGACCCAAAAGCCACTTCACCACGGCAGCTGTGACCAGGTCCTCCTGAGTCGTGTGGGCCGAGGGACCCCAACTGGCACAGGCCACAGCCCCACCCCTAGGGCTCCCTGGGTGCCGGGGCTGCACACAGATCACCTCGGAATCCTCACAATGCCCTGACCTAGGGCTGTTGGCACCTCAGATACAACCTAGATCTGATGCCCAAAACTCATGCCCTTCCTAAGGGAGCCTCAGCCCTGCCCACCCCCATCAGACCATCTTTCCCCCTTTATCAGGGCATCCAGCCCTGGGGAACCTGACTGTAAACTGTGAAATCTCAGGGCCAGACGCCTCTTCCTCTCCCCCACCACCATGTCTGGCAGAGGGGCTGACAGCGGATGCCCGGAGCAGAGGAGGGGCACTGGGCAGAGACATCCCTTTGTGCTCTGCCACACACCTGGCCCTGGTGGGTGCTGGGTCCCCAGTGTGAACGAATGACCCCGTGTTGAGCTGCCCGTGTTGGGCTCGGGGCACTCAAGGAGGGACTGGCCATCCGTATCTCCCTAGCTCACTGTCCCCTGTCCTGCCTGGGCCTGCTGAGGAGTGCGGGGGTCGGGCCAGTCGATAGCCCTGTTGGCGGAATGTGGATGACGCCTGCAAGGCTGCCAGCCTTATCTGGGGGTCTTCCCAGGGGAGAGGGGAGGGTGCAGGGCCTGCCTGCTCTGGGGCCTGTTTAGTGTCTGGATGACAACCTGGATGGATGGGGGAGGGGAGCTCCAGGTGGGGCTCCTGCTGGAGGCCCCTCCCCACAGTGAGTTCTTGGACCAAGCACCCAAGCTTTGACCTTTTACCATTCATCTGAGGGACACACTATTCTCAGTCCCTCTGCAGGCTGGGCATGGCTCCGTAGGAAGAATGACTTGCCCGACATCTCACAGGCATTTTCAGAGCTGGGATTTGAACCCAGGCCTGTTAGTGACAAGGCCGTGGGTAGGGAGGATGGGAGGAAGGGAGGGGGCTCCCTGGGTCTCATGGAGACCTCTCAGTGCTGAGTCAGGCGCTCAGTGCGCCGGTCTCAGCACCAGCTCTGTCCGTGGGACCTTGGGCAGCCCCAGCCCCAGGTCGGGCACTTGCTGGGGGCTGAATGAAATGAAGGCAGGGATCCTCCAGAAGCTCCCAGGCCAGCCCGCAGGAGGGTGGGGGTGAGGCCCAGTCTTTGAAGTCACCCACCCATCCCTTCTAGGAGGCCGAGGTCAGACATCTCGGGTTTCACGAGGGGGATGGAGTTACCAGACCCCCAACAGGAGAGGGGAGGGGAGGACAAGCGCCCTTCCTTCAGGCTGATGCCCGTGTCCTCCTGGACAGGGGCAAGGGGGAGCTGCAGGAAAGGGAGCCCAGAAGAGACCCCTCTGGCTGTGGCCGAAACAGCCTGGACATTGAAACCTAGCCCAGTGCCGAGACCCTAGCAAGAGCCTGGTTTTCTTTCTGGAGCCTCTCTGCTTGCTGTCACGGGGCACCATGACAGCCCCTGCCCCCCAGGGCACTGCAGGGTGGGGTGAGGAGACAGTGTGGGGGAGCTCACAGCGTTGCATCCTCTCGTTAGTCTTTCAGGGTGCCAGGCATCAGGCCTGTTGCTCTGCTCTGTAGACACAGTGAGACGGGTCTCACTGGGGCCCTGCCTTACACACCAGCCCCTCGTGTGTCCCCTGAGCATGGGCAGATCCAGGCTGGGCTGAGAGCATAGGGAGGGGGCGTCCATGCAGCCTCTCCCCAGCGTCTTTCCTCTTTCTACAGGTACCGTGCCTTCCGAGAGCCTGAGTGGGCAGACCTCAGACCCATGTGCCTCAGAGCCGTGTGCTCCAGGGACCAAGTGTCAGACTATGGAGAGCAGCGGCTACACCTGTGGGCCCGAGGAGCCCCAGGGCTGTGCCACCCAGCCCTGCCACCACGGTGCTCTGTGTGTACCCCAGGATCCAGATCCTAATAGCTTCCGCTGCTACTGTGTGCCTGGTTTCCAGGGTCCCCACTGTGAGCTGGACATTGATGAGTGTGCGTCCCGGCCCTGCCAGCACGGGGCCACCTGCCACAACCTGGCTGATCGCTTCGAGTGCCGCTGCCCCCTCGGCTATGCAGGTACTGTCTGCGCTGCTCTGGGTGGAGGGCCAGACCGTGGGTCCCCTCAGTGGCTCCCAGTCTAAACAGCCTGATTCAGCCCTGGCTTTAGTCAAGAGCTGCCCCAGGACACTGGCAGCTCCGGGTGTCCCCGCTCCTGTGCTTACTACAGAACTGCTGCCTCTTGGGCGGGCCTGGCAGCTCTGGTGAGAGTATGTCTGGGTGTCTGGCCCCTCTCAGGCCTTTGACAAGCATTACTTTGGCCCCTGCTGTGCACCTGGGTTTGGCTCTGGAGTGGAGCTCAGCCTCAGGCATCCCTGGCAGTGCAGAGCAACCTGGCAGATTTGGCTGGTTTAGCTTTCTCAAGGACACCCCAGACAGCATTGCTAGCATTCTCTGCTCCAGACCTGGGTAAGGCTGTCATGTAGACACTGTCCAGATCATCGAGTGGCTCTAGAGTGAGAACATCCTTGACGCAGCTCAGGATGTAATGCTGGGATGCAGAACCCTGCCCTTTGCCGTGATCCCAGGTTCTAGCTTGGAGACCACTTGTGGTCTTGTTCCTTAATGCCAATGTACCCCCAAGATCCTGGATGCCCTTAGTGCTCAGAAAGTGACCAGCATCGAATGCACATAATTCCTGCATCTGGAGAACAGCTGTTCAGTCTCTGCCCAGCTCAGAGGCTTGGGCATCCTGCAGCTGCTGCCTGGAGTTGGGAAAAGGGTGCAGCTGGGGGGCCAGGCCGGCCTGGGACAGCCTGCAGCCTGCGGTGTAGACACTCTGGGACCCATTCAACCCTGAGTGCAGACGATGTGTTTTGAGGGCAAAGGGCAATTTGGAGTCACCACAGAGTGAGGGGTACAGACTGGGGGACCAAGTTCCAGGTGACAGGACGTGTAATGAGATGACACTGCTTTCCCACACCTTGCTTGTCCTCTGTCTGTGTCTGGCTGTGTTGGCTGTGCACATGCGTGTGTGGTCACGCCCATGTGTCTCTAGGTTTGAAAGTCTGCTTCAAGGGCCTCTGTGCATTTGCCCTCTCTCCATGGCCATCTGGGGTCTCTGAATGCCTTGCTGCGTGTGAAATGTCCATGCGCACTGGCAGATGTGTGTGCACTGGAAGTTCAGTGCTCTGATAATTCCCTGGGTGCGAGCTAGCGGCCATGACTCATCTCTCTCCTTCCATTCCAGGCTGGGTGGGGGAGGCTGGGATTCCAGGAGGCTGAGCCTGGCTCCCCCTGGCACAGAGGGTGGGAGTGGGGCTGGAGGGTCACAGGGAGGAGGGACTGTGTTTTGTGCTCTCTGAGCTGGGAAGGGGGAGGATTCCAGCTGCAGTCAGGAATGGCCCACCCCCCCATGGCCAAGCCCACTTAGGGGCCGGGACAGGGCCAGGGGCACTGGGGTCTGCAGTGACACATGAGCTCCAGGGTGAATCTCCAAACTACAGATTCTCCACGGGCAGCCACCCAGCCAGCGTGGTTTGCCCAGGACAGCAGGGCTTCGGGTCTAGGAGTTTTTGCTTTAACGCCAAGACAGTGCAGGGCCGGGGATTTAGCCTAGTGGTTTCCGCCGCCTGCTGCGCAAGCGCAAAGACCCAAGTTCATCCCCGGTACAAAAAAAAAAAAAAAAAAGGAGGAACTGAGGAACCTGCCTTTGTGTGGTGCCAAACGACAGTGCAGGAGCTGCTTACCCCACTCCAGCATCTCCTCCCAGGGTCCCCTCCTAAAGCCATCAGAGTGAGCCTTCTGAATCGTAGACAGGATCACATCACTTGGCCACTTACAACTTTTAGGACGACCTCAGAGTGTGTTACCTGCCCCTATCTCTTGAGATGCCCCACTCCTGACTCACCTGCCTGACTCTTCCCCTCGCTCGGGCCCCTACCCGACCCCAGCAGGACCAGACCAACTGCAGTCTCCTTCTGGCACCCAGGAGCCCGTTATCCCAATCCTTCAAAACCTCTTCCCGCCCGGCATAGTGGCGAATGCCTGTCATCCCAGCACTCGGGAGGCTGAGGCAGGAGGATCACTGGGAGTTTGCGGGCAGCCTGGGCTACATAGTGAATTCAAGGCCAGCATGAACTGCATAGCGAGACCCTGTCTCAAAAAAAAAAAAAAAACCAAAACAAACTCCCACCCCCCAAACAAAATTCTTCCCCCAAGAAGCCTTCCTTCCCTGACTTCTAATTCCCCAGATAGGATCCCGCCCTTGCTTTCGCAGGATCGGGTTCCCTCGCTGGCTCGCTGAACTTGTCATTATAAAAGCCAGTCCTCAGTTAGGTACTGACCTAATCCCGTCTACAGGTCTAGAGCACTGGAGGCCCCAGAATGGCAGGGACGAGGCACCTGCTCAGAGTGAACGAGCCAGCGGGTCTCTGTGTAGAGCCGCAGGGTCGCCCCTTGTGAGTGGAGCAGACGCCACCTTGGCCCGGCCGCTTTCGCCTCCCATGGGTGTGCATCTCCGGCTTTGTGTCTCCGGCCCCGTCCAGGCGTGACCTGCGAGGCCGAGGTAGACGAGTGCGCGTCAGCGCCCTGCCTGCACGGGGGCTCGTGCCTGGACGGCGTGGGCTCCTACCGCTGCGTGTGCGCGCCAGGCTACGGGGGCGGCAGCTGCCAGCTGGACCTCGACGAGTGCCAGAGCCAGCCGTGCACACACGGGGGCGTGTGCCACGACCAGGTCAACGGGTGAGCGAGCGCGAGACCGCCAGCTGGGTGCTGGGTGGGGGGTCGGGGGCAGGGAGGCGGCGCGGCGGAGCGGTGGGCCGGGGGTGGGGGGTGCTCAGCTCCCGCTCCCGCTCCCGCCACGCCCGCCCCAGGTTCCGGTGCGACTGCGCGGACACGGGCTACGAAGGCGCGCGCTGCGAGCAGGAGGTGCTGGAGTGCGCGTCAGCGCCCTGCGCACACAACGCCACCTGCCTGGAGGGCCTCGGGAGTTTCCGTTGTCTTTGCTGGCCAGGTGCGTGCGTACGCGTGCGTGCGTGAGAGCGCGCGCGCTCCCCACAGGTGCGGGCGGCAGGTGTGCAACTGTGAGCACGCGCGATTCGGTCTAGGCGCTTTCCATCTGTGTAGGTGACTGCAATATGTCTGAGCCTCAGTTTTCTGATCTGCAAAATAATAGCACCTGCTCCTCGGGGTGCAATGAGGAGAGGGAAGGAGTAAGGGCAGCGAAGCGCGTGGCCAGGGCCTGCCGCAGGCGAAGTGCTCAGTAACACTAGTGTTAATAGCACTACCACCGTTGGTGACTTGTACCCAGAGCTGTTGTCTGTGGCTGGCCCTGGGCCAGCCTGGTGGCAGTGGAGGGGAGTTGCCTGGGGTCCTGTGACTCGATGCCCGCGTGTGCGTCCCCAGGCTTTAGCGGCGAGTGGTGCGAGGTGGATGAGGACGAGTGTGAGGCGCGCCCCTGCCACAACGGCGGCCTCTGCCTGCAGCGCTCCAACCCGGCTCTGTACGGGGGCGCCCAGGCCACCCTGCCTGGCGCTTTCAGCTTCCGTCATGCCGCCGGCTTCCTGTGCCGCTGCCCTGCGGGCTTTGAGGGTGAGTCTCTTGCCGGGGAAGCCCTCAGCCACGCCCAGATGTCCAGAGAGGGGTCCCAGGCCGGCCTGAGACCTGGCCCTGGCGGGCATCTTGTGCCACCCTGCCAGAGTCAGTGTCTCCCTCAGGGCCTCAGTGTCTGTAGCTATAAATTGGGCTCTTTTGGGCCGGGCGTTTAGCTCAGTGGTTCCTTTGCTTGCATCGCAAGCACAAGGACCCGAGTTCGATCCCCGGTACCAAAAAAACAAAAAACAAAAAAAAATTGCGCTCTTTTAACTCTGGTCTGGCTCTGAGGGTGCAGGTGGGAACCACTGGTGGGCCTCTTGCAGGGGACGACTGCAGCGTGGATGTGGATGAGTGTGCCTCGGGGCCATGCCTCAACGGTGGCCGCTGCCAGGACCTGCCCAGTGGCTTCCAGTGCCATTGCCCGGATGGCTACACAGGTGCCGGGGTGGGTGGGGTGGGCCCCGGAAAGGGCAAGGTCAGAAAGGGCAAGGTCAGAGTTAGGGGGTGAGAAAGTCCCTTCTGTCTGCTGTGAGGTGAGGGCAGACATGGGTGCCGTCACCCAGGTCACAGCTGAGGGGGGCTGAGCTGGGCCCAGGCTCCGGAAGTGGGACTAGGTGCTGTTGATCCGTTTGAGAAATATTTAGGAGCTGTGAGCTATCGGTCCTCACATGTGAGTAGAACGCATCGAAGGTGCCTGCTGATGGTGGAGCCCTTGCCCTGGGTGGTACTAGCTGGGGACAGTGAGTGTGGCCTTGTCCATGCTGGGTGTCTCTCTAGAACCCAGACAGGGAAAAGCTAGCACCTGGGGCCCAGGAGAGAGGGCTGGGCTGGACCCAGAGTGGGGTGAGGCCTGGGAGAATGTGCATGGCAATGGGCAGAGACCCTGCAGGCCTGGCCTCAAAGGCCTGGGCTGAGGCCACTGGGCTTCCGGAAGGACAGAGCCATTGAGCCAAGACAGGGAAGGGGAGCTGTGCAGAGCTGGAGACAGACTGCAGGTCAGGCTTTGCCTTTGGGGAGCTGGGGGCTGCTGCATGGGGCGGGGGTGTAGGACGTTTCTCCCTTCCTGGGTCCATGCAGACGTACAGTCCTGCTGTGGCCCTGGGGACACACACTGAGTGAGCCTGCCCTTCTGGAATGCCCGTGCCGCCTCCCCTGCAGCCAACCTGCATTCCTGCCCAAGCACACTGCCTTCTGCCCGAAGGCTCCCAGGCACAGGCTTCCTGTCTGGGGAAAGTCGTGGGGATCAAAGATGTGGCTCAGCGCTCTCCACCCTGAAGTGACCAGTGCCCTCGAGGGCCCTGAAGAGCTGGGCTCCCTTCTGCTGAGGTCCCTATCCCTGCCCCAGGAGTCCCAGCCCAGTGTGGGCCTGGCCTCTGTAAAGCACTCTCTGCATTTTATTTCTCCTCACCATGGCCCCATGAGGTAGGGGGTCACCATCCCCTCTTACTGAGGTAGCAATGGTGCCCTAGAGGGAGCAGTGTCCTCCACACTCGATGGTGTTGGCCGGACCGGCTCCTTCCCAGCTGAGCTCAGGGTGACAGGCAGGGTGGGCCTCTGAGGTTAGGGCCCAGGAGGGGACCCAGCTGTGGGGCTGGGCTCCTTGCTTACCTCCCTTTAGGCAGGGCTGGCGTGGGGGAGGCCAGTGCCCGGCATTCCTGAGGTGGTGGAAGGAGGGGCGGCCTGGCGCTAGCTGTGCTCCTGGCCTCTGCATCGGCTGCTTTCAGCCATCTGTGGGGGCTGCCATGGCGCTGTGCGTTCTGCGCCCCTTCCTGGGGGCCCTGTGTCTCCTGGCAGGTACAGAGGACAGGATCGCATGCAGGGGGAGGCTGGGGCAGGTGGCTGTGATTCCCTGGAGGTGGCTGTGGGGTCTGTGGGCTGACTGGGACTGGGCGTCCCATCCTGGTGGCTCCCCTGGAGCTGGGTTTGCCCAACTGGGATGTCGGGGGCAGGGCTGGCCTTGGTTTGTTTCTTGGCGGCTCTGGCTGAGCTGGGGTTGGATCATGGCCTCGAGCTGGGGCCTGAGCACCTGGTGGGAGGCCAGGAAGGGAGGGTTAAGTGGTCTCTTCACAGCTTGTGTAGTGTCCCTCAGAGGGACAGTGAGGTAGAGATGGAGGTCATTCAGTGTGGTCCAGATACACACATCCACCCCCACTCTTCAGTCCATCTCTGTCCACAGAAGCCATGCCAAGCCCTTTATTGGGCATTAAGGACATATCCAGGCCTGAAGGGGATCCCAGTGGAGAAAACGGAGAGGCCCCTAAGTGGGACTTTGCAGAATGAATAGGAGTTTGAAAGTTAGAGTAAGGGAGGTTTGAGGCATTCCAAGCAGAGAGGAGAGTATGGGCCAAGCTCTAGATGCAGGACTTCCCAGGAAATGCTTGGAGGAATGGGGAGGTCATGGCTCTTAGGAAGCAGGCTTGAGGCTTGAGAGCTTGCTGGAGCCCAGCCGTGGGGGTATTGAAGGCCAGGGTGTGTGACTGGACGTCAGCAGCAGAGGAGCCTGGCCAGGTGATGCGGAAGCAGCGGAGCTCTGGTTGCTGGTGGAGATGGATGGAGGGTGGCATCTGAGGCGGTGAACTGGAGGCTGCTGACTGCGGCTCAGACAGCTGTCAAGACCGGGGGGTGGGGGTGGTGTTGGAGAATGTTTGGAGATCAAATCCACAAGCGTGGAGACGCCAGACAGGAAGGGAAGGGGCCTCAGCAGATCAGGAGAAGTCCTCCGGGAGTGGGTTTGGCAGATAGGTACTGAGGTCCCCCTCACCAGAGGCGCGTGAGTTCTGGGCTGAGCCTGTGGTTCCGGCCCTGGGCGTTACTGAGTCTTGGCCATGTCTCCCGCAGGGCTCAAATGTGAGGAAGATGTGAGCGAATGCTTGTCGGAGCCCTGCCTCCACGGCGGGACCTGCGACGACACCGTGGCTGGCTACACCTGCTGGTGCCCCGAGACCTGGGGTGGACATGACTGCTCTGTGCAGCTCACTGGGTGCCAGGGCCACACCTGCCCCCTGGCTGCCACCTGCATCCCCATCTTCGAGTCTGGGCTCCACACTTACACCTGTCGCTGCCTGCCTGGTACCCATGGGCCTGACTGCGGCCAGAATACCACCTTCTCTGTGATGGCCAGGACCCCCGTGTGGGCATCAGTGCCTACTGGTGGCTCCCTGGGCCTGGCACTAAGGTTTCGCACCACGCTGCCTGCTGGGGCCCTGGCCACTCGCACTGATACCCAGGACACCTTGGAACTGGCACTGGTGGAGGGCACACTTCAAGCCACACTGTGGAGTCATGGTGCCACCGAGCTTGTCCTGAGACTGCCGGGCCTGGCCCTAAATGACGGCCACTGGCACCAGGTGGAGGTGGCACTCCGCCTCGGGACCCTGGAGCTGCGGCTCTGGCATGAGGGTTGCCCTGCTCAGCTCTGTGTGGCCTCTGGTCCTGTGGCCCCAGGTCCTACAGCTTTGATGGCCCCTGGGACTTCCGGGCCCCACTCTGCCCAGCTGGGTGGCTCAGCCTTCGCTGGCTGCCTCCAGGATGTGCTGGTCGATGGGCACCTTCTGCTCCCGGACAACCTCAGTGGTAGTATTATCCTGGGCTGCGAACACCGTGAGCAGTGCCAGCCTCCGCCCTGTGCCCACGGAGGGGCCTGTGTGGACCAGTGGACTCACTTCCGCTGTGACTGCCCCCGGCCATACAGTGGTCCCACGTGCGCCAGTGGTGAGGCCAGGTGGGAGGGAGCACCTAAAACTTGGCTTCCCTAGCCCTTGGGCCTCATACCCAGCCCCGCCTCTCCTTGCAGAGATTCCCGCTGCCACCTTTGGCTTGGGGGGCGCCCCGAGCTCCACCTCCTTCCTGCTCCATGAGCTGCCGGGCCCCAACCTCACGGTGTCCTTCCTCCTCCGAACTCGGGAGCCTGCTGGCCTGCTGCTCCAGTTCGCCAATGACTCAGTGGCTGGCCTGACTGTCTTCCTGAGTGAGGGCCAGATCCGGGCCGAGGCGCTGGGCAGCCCCATTTCGGAGCTGCCTGGGCGCTGGGACGACGGGCTCCGCCACCTGGTGACGCTCAGCTTTGGGCCTGATCAGCTTTGGGAACTGGGGCAGCAGGTGCACGTGGGCGGGACACTCCTCCCTGCCGACAGCCAGCCCTGGGGGGGCCCCTTCCGAGGCTGCCTCCAGGACCTGCGACTCAATGGCCTCCACCTCCCCTTCTTTCCTCTGCCGGGGGACAACTCCAGCCAGCTTGGTGAGCTGGGCCAGTCCTGGAACCTCGCCCAGGGCTGTGTCTCTGAGGACACGTGCAATGTGAGTGCCTGGGAGGGGACCTTAACCCAGGATCTGTCCTGGGCCACTGGGGTCAGTGTGTCCTTTCCTTGATGGGGAAACTGAGGCTTGGGAGGTGGAGTGGCCTGTCTAAGGTCCTGTGCCTAGAGAGGCAGAGCTAGATTTGCGTTCATCTTCTCTATCCAGCTGCTCCTACTCTCTGGTGGTCCCTGTGCCTGTCCCCACCCAGTTGCTGTCTGAGATGGACACCCTGACCTAAACACAGGGCTATTTGAGCCTTTCTGCTTGGGGGAGAGGGACCCATGGGTTTAGGAGCAGGACTCACTCAGGAACTGGAGTGGCCGGGGTGTGAACCGTTTCCTGTCTCTGGTGGCTGGTGATCTGGGCACGTGGCCTTACCTGGAGGATGGTGACCTCCTCTCCACGTGGTTTTGAGGGTTCCTGTCCCCAGCAGCTGCTCCATGAGGAGCCGCAGCAGTGATGTCATGGTGGGGCTGGTGCTACCCAAGGGCCTGAGCCAGCCTCTGCCCCGACTGTCTCACAGCCCAACCCCTGTCTCAATGGCGGGACTTGCCTGGTCACCTGGAATGACTTCCACTGCACCTGTCCTGACAACTTCACAGGGCCTGTGTGTGCCCAGCAGCTCTGGTGTCCCAGCCAACCCTGCCTCCCACCTGCCACCTGTGAGGAGGTACCGGATGGCTTTGTTTGTGAGTATGTGCCCTGGGAAGGGAGCTGGGTATTCAAGCTGGGTAGAGCCCCAGGTTTTATGCTGGACCGGGTGCCAGGAATATTTACAGCCCCTGGCCAGGGTGGTGGGCCACTGCAAGCAGGGGGACAGAGGCTTTCTAGAGAAGGTGATCAGGTAGGGCAGACTCCAAGAGAGCCCCAGAGAAGGACCGTTCAGGCAGGAAGAAGAGCATGTGCAAAAGCCTCAGGTCTATAAAGCCTTCTAAAACACAAGTACAGAGGAATACAGCAGGAAATGGGGTGAAGAAATAGGTAGGGCTTTGAACCCCAAGCCAGGCAACTTGGACGTTGTTTGTCCCGCGGGCAGTGGGAACCACAGAAGGTTTTAAGTAGGAGGAAAGGATAGCTTGCACTTTGCAAAGATGACTGGCTGCAGTGAGGAGGAAGCCTCTGTGATGAGTCAGAGGATCTTCCGGGAGTAAGGAGGGGGCAGATTTTCCAGGCTTGTTACGTTGTGGGGAGGAACAGTGGTCCCCCAGAATGACTCCCTGGGAGTAGGGAATGCACGGGGTGGGTGGAGGAGAGGGTGGGGGTCAGATGCCGGGAACAGGCGGCTCCACCTGCGAGCTTGGGGGCGGTGGCGTCCCTGGAGAAGGCTCCGTGGGTCATTTCCTAACGCTGTCCCCCTCTTTTCACAGGCGTGGCAGAGGCCACGTTCCGCGAGGGCCCCCCAGTGGCGTTCATCGGGCACAACGCGTCGTCGGGGCGCTCGCTCAGTGGGCTCTCGCTGGCCTTCCGCACGCGCGACCCCGAGGCCGGGCTGCTGCGCGCCGCTGCGGGCGCCCACGCCGGGCTGTGGCTGGCGGTGCGCAACGGCTCGCTGGCGGCCAGGGTGCGCAGCGGCGGGGACGCAGCCGGCGCCGTGCTGCCCGCGCCCGGGCCCCCCGTGGCCGACGGCGCCTGGCACCGTGTGCGCCTGGCCATGGAGCGCCCGGCGGCCGCCGCGTCGCGCTGGCTGCTGTGGTTGGACGGCGCAGCAACGCCGGTGGCGCTGCGCGGCCTGGCGGGAGACCTGAGCTTCCTGCAGGGCCCGGGCGCCGCGCTTGTCTTGCTGGCCGAGAACTTCACCGGCTGCTTGGGCCGCGTGGCGCTCGGTGGCCTCCCGTTGGCTCTGGCGCGGCCGCGCCCCGGAGCGCCCCCCGGGTCCCGGGAGCACTTTGGCGCCTGGCCAGGGGCGCCGGCCCCGAGTCTCGGCTGCCGCGGCGCGCCCGTGTGCGCGCCCTCGCCCTGCCTGCACGGCGGCGCCTGTCGAGACCTCTTCGACGCGGTTGCCTGCGCCTGCGGCCCGGGCTGGGAGGGTGCGCGCTGCGAGGCCCGCGCCGACCCGTGTCGCTCCGCGCCCTGTGCCCGCGGCCGGTGTCATGCGCGCCTGGACGGCCGCTTCGAGTGCCGCTGCCCGCCGGGCTTCGCGGGCGCGCGCTGCAGGTGCGGGCGGCGGGACCTCGGGCAGGGTCGGGGTGCTGGCCTGGAGGAGGGAACCCGGGCGTGGGGGCAGCGGGGGAGTCCGCGTCTGGGGCGTCGCTTCCCTTTCTGAGCCTCTGAGAGATGGGGACCCAGGCCAATTTGATACACCTAAAGGGAAAATACAGATTAAAGTACGGCCTGCCACCTTTGAATCTCAGACAACGCTCTGGTCTGGGCGAGTGATGGGGGAGCCAGAGCTAGTTTCGGGAGTGACCTTGAGGCTTGGAAGCCAGCGTCCACAATGCTGCTCGCCCCCTTTAGTCCCCTGGCTCAGGGTGGACCCAGCACTCCCGCACTCGGTCTCAGCCCTGCTGCCTGCGCACCAGTTTCTCAAGTTCTCTGCCTGACTCCTCCCCTCCACGAATGTCCCTGAGTTCTATGTTTAGGAGTAACCCTGGTCTCTCCCCTGCCCCAGGCCTTCCATTTCACCAGCTTCTCAAAGGCTTCTCAGTCTCAGGCAAGTTTCTGCCTTGCCCACTGGTTGGACAGCAAGTTGGACAGGAAGCCCAGTGTCCCGTTTCCCACCCAGACCCGACTTCCCTGGCAGATAGGGAGTCCCGTAGGGCCGAGGACACAAGGCTCGGTGACCTACTGTCACCTGGTCCCAGCCCAGTGTTTTCTCCCTAGGTTGCCCATCCTGCCTGAGGGGTGCAGCCTCAACTTCACCTGCCTCAATGATGGCCCCTGCGAGGCTGGGCCTGGAGGTGCCAACTGCAGCTGCCAGGGGGGCTCTGCTGGCCAGAGGTGGGTGTGGGGCCCGGGGACTAGGAGCTGGACTCAAGCACGGCAGGGTGGCCCCGGTCCCCGCCAGTGGGGACCTTCACTGCCCGTCTCATCCTCATGGGTGTCACTGTGCCAGACAGCCCCAAACTGTCACCTGAGTCCTTTCCTTCTGGGACATGCAGACCCATTCTCTAGGTAGACGCTGCTGTCATTACTTACAGCTGGGTCCTCAGTCCCCCCCCCCCCCCCGTGGACTGCAGGGAAGACTGAAAATGCAGTATGAGTCTCCAGACGGTGGAGTCAGTGTCCCTGGACACCACTTGCCTGTCAACACGCTTCCCTGTCATTCTCATGGAGGGTCCTCTATGGTCAGAAGTGCTGGGCTGAGGGAGGTGGCAGGTGGTAGAGATTATGTTCAATTTGGTCACCTGGCAGGGCCAGTCAGGGGAACAGTACTGCTTGGGGATGATGGATGATCTTTGATGCCTGGTTGGAGTGGGGAACATGAGGCAGCAACGGGGGTAGTAGCCCTCTCAGCACCCACCCTGTCCCTCCCCAGGTGTCGGAGCCCTGCCTTGCCCTGTGAAGCCAACCCCTGTTTGAATGGGGGCACCTGCCAGGCATTGGGTGGGGTGTACGAATGCACCTGCAGCTCCGGATTTTCTGGCCAATTCTGTGAAGTAGTGGTGAGTGATGGCCAGGGAGGAGGCTGTTTGGGCTTCAGTGGATGGGGTGGGCTGGGGAGTGTGCCCAGCACCTGTGGAGCTGTCCCTACACCACCGCTGCCTGCATGGGAGCAGCAGGAGAGGAGACTGCTCCCTTGCATGCCCTGCCACCCCATGAAGGAGCGAGTCTAGGGAGACTTGAGGGGGCCACCAGCCATCAGCGAGGGCACAAGGCCAGGGGCTCCCCACAGTGCCCAGGGGAATGGCAGTGGGAACAGGTGGGCTTTGCCAAGTCTACTCTGGGACCACGATTCAGGGCCCACAGGATCTGGGAGCCTATAAGTTCTAGGGGTTCTGAGCCAGGGAGATTTGGGGAGCCCAGGATTCTGAGCCAGGGCAGGCTTGGCCATGGTGAAGGTGTCCCTGATCCTGGGGAGGCTCAGCTGAGAAGGGTCCTGGACAGGGCACTAGCACCCCAGTGCAGGAGTGGAGCAGGCCCTGCACCTGGAGGGCAGTGAATCCATGGTGATGCAGGCAGGAGGAACTCCAGAAAGGTAGTCTGGGGACCAGTCTTGATAGCCACAGGCTGCTGGCAGCCGGGTCATAAACTGCAGATCCCCGTCTCTGGGGAATGTTTCCTTTCCAGTTGAACTTTTACAGCTCTGGCTTCCCCACCCACCCTCCTCTCAGGCCAGGGGGAGGAAATGGCTTTATAGCTCCCCCAGAAGTGCCAGGGTGGAGGCCTTTGAGGACCCACCCAGGACTGAAGCAACCTCTGGGGCCCATTCTCCAGGTGTGTGTGCTGGGGCTAGGGACACAGGTCACAGCTGGCTGAGGAGCCTCCAGGTACAGAAGGAGGGCTGGTGAGGCTGAGACCCCTGAGCCCTGGAGTCCTGTGATTCTGGGACTTCAGCATTCCAGGCATGCAGACCGTTTGATGAGGGCATCCCGGGGGTCTGTGACTGGAGGTGGGGAGGAGGTTTGCTGAGCCCTGCAAAGCCTGGCCCTAGTCTCCCAGGGACAGCTGTCAGAGCAGCCCCTCAGGCAGGCAGGCACTGGACTCTGACCTCACCATTAGCAGAGCTCAGTCTGGCCCCTCCTGCTCCCTTTTTGTGTCAGGTCACGTGGAACCCCATGCCCAATGCTCACCTCATGTACTAGACACACCATGAGTACCTGCTTTCTCCTTCCAGCTGGAGCCTCTCAGTCATGCAATACCCCCAACCCCAGTGGCTCCTTGCATGACTCCAGGAAGACACCCGCCTGCACACCCCTGGGGCTGGGTGCTCCCTGCCTGGGTTTTCTCTGAGCACATCCTTGTGTACCTTTCCCTCCTGCAGAAGGGCCTGCCCCTGCCACTGCCATTCCCGCTGCTGGAGGTGGCTGTGCCTGCGGCCTGTGCCTGCCTCCTCCTCCTGCTCCTGGGCCTGCTCTCAGGGATTCTGGCTGCCAGGAAGCGTCGCCAGTCAGAAGGGACCTACAGCCCGAGCCAGCAGGAGGTAGCTGGGGCCCGGCTAGAGATGGACAGTGTCCTCAAGGTGCCACCTGAGGAGAGACTAATCTAGGTGCCCTGGCTACCAGCGCCACACCCAGAGGTCCTGTAGGATTTCCAACTGGAGACCCAAGAAGGCCACTTCCAGGACCTGGGATGCCTTCTGGGAGTGTGCCCATGGCTGGCAGCCTCTGCTGATGCCTCATCAGGGACTGAGGAAAGGGGAACAACTCAGGGAAGTGGAGGGGCACCTTCGAGGTTGGGAGCCTCTCCATCTGACCCTCCAGGCCACCCTGGCAGGCATATGGCTGTGTACGCGGGGGTACACGAGGTGCAGGGAGTGTTGTCAGGAGTGTGTGAAAGTGGGGGCACATGTCAGTCTGCAGACTCCAGTGTGGGTGTTGTAGTGTGTCTCGTGGGTGTGTCTGCCTCTTGCCGTGTGTATGTGACTGTGTAGCGGGGCCAGGTGACCCCACGGGGAAAGAGGCTGCTGTGAGAGGAGGAACCCAAGGCTGCTAGTTCTCCAGGAGGTTCAGCCAGGGCTTGCATGGGCACTGGGGCTTCACTTCTGGCATCTTCTCCCCCACCAGGGGCAGTCTCTGCCCCAGAGGCTGCTGGGAAAGCAGAGAGGGAGGGCATTGGATGGGGTCCTGGCTCCCAGAACAAAAGTGCCTTTAGGCGGATCTGTCCTGTCAGTGCTAGAGCCAATCATACAGGAAATCCCAGAGCTGCCCACCGAGGCCGTGTCTGTGCTGGGCAGGCCGCAGGAGCACAGGATGCTGCCCTAAGCTTTCCTCTCTGGCCATGGGTATTGGCAGATGGAGATGCCCCCTGCCTACCTCACAGGACTGCTGTGAGGATCAGAGGGCTGACAGCCAGGGAAGGAGACATGACGTTGTTAAACTTCCGTCTGATGTGAAGGACCCCAGAGGTGTCCTCTTAGGTACCCGCAAGTGTCATCTCTGTTGGTCAGAGTGGGAAGGAGCCTTCCTGGGGCCCAGTGGGGAGGACAGAGGGCCCCAAGGATGAAGGAGACTTGTCCTCTCTGTGCCCACCGCTCACCTGAGCACTTGGTTCTCTAGTGGCTGCTCCTCCCCTGCAGCCTGGTCCTGTGTGGTTGTGGGCTGACCCAGGGAAGGCGCCGAGAAAGATGCCCTCGGAGCTCAGCGCTGTTGAAGCCAGTCCTGCGAGACCCAGGTGGGGGACTGTGCTGCATCCCTCTTGATGTTCATCACACTGACTTCGGATCTGAGGGCACCGTCTAGGGGCCAGGCCTCCCTCTGGGTTCACAGAGTCCCTTTGGCCTGGAGATGGGCCCTTTCGCCTTTATTTCTCAGGCCAGGGCCTCCTGTGGTGTGGGCTCCAGCACCACGGCCAGGAGACCCTTTACACTGCTAAGCCCTGGCCCCCTCTTCTAGAGGCATAGCACAGGGGACTCGGTGGGGGGTGGCTCCAGTGGAGGCTGAGGTGGGGGCTAAGAGATCTGCTTTGTCCTTTTCCCAAGGAGGTAAGGCTGCTCGGGGGAGAGGGGAGAGCAGCTTGGTTCTCTGACTGGCTTATCAAGTCAGTGATTTGGCAACTTGTGCCAGCTGCAGGCTCCTGAAAAAGGACATTTAATGTGGAACTTCAGCACGAACTGTTTCACTCTGGTGATGACAACCATTGTGTGTAACCGGCCCAGATGTCTCCTTCAAACGCACACCAGTAAGGCCGCAGTCTGATGAGGCTCTGCCCTGGCCGATGAGAGACCTGTGGGGGTGACGTCAAGGTGTCCCCTTGAACTTGTGTTTTCCTGGAGTCCAGGTGCCCTGGGCACCATTGGTAGCCTACAGCTCTGCTCTGTGGTACCAGCAGGGCTTTGTGGATCTGTCACCACCACACCCACATCCTGCCTGTGAGAAAGGGGTGGCTGGCTCCGAGCCCAGAGTGAGCACAGGCCTGGGATGGGCTGGGTGAATGGTTCCCTGCCTGCCCACAGGAGGGATGGTAAGAATGTCTCAGGGGCCATTCGGACCCTCTCCTGCCCTCAGCTTAAGGACACCAGGATGCCAGTCATTTCCCCAAGAAGATTTTATTGAATGCACAGAGTTCATCCTTGGGTTTGAAAAATCCTCCCAGTGAGTGAAGAGACAGTGGTGCTCACCAGGACCCAGAGTGCGGGCCACCAGCCCCCAGCACAGCCAGGGAGACTGTGGGGTGTGCCTGCTTTCCGGGCCACCTAGCACCTCATCTCACCATCTGTCCCAGACTGGCCTGGAGCCTGCCCAGGACGGTGGTGCGACTGGAGCCCTTGCTGCAACGCCTGAGTCCCGGGAAGGGCCCATGTGGCTCCCCGGCAGCCATCGAGGACTGCTGAATGGGACAGATTTGTCTTGGGCTACAGCTCACCTGGGAAGGGCTCTGGGCCAGGTGGCCCAGGCTTCAACTCCTGAGCAGCTGCACTGTCCTCCAGCCTCTCAGACACAGAGGGGGCTTCCTGGTGTGCTGGGGACCCCCAGAGACTCCTTTGTCCTACCAAACACCCCTGGGGAGACTGTTGTCTGACCATTCACAAATAGGAAATGAGAAATTGGGTCAAAATGCTTATAATTTCCTGCACGTCTCAGATGGTTGTTTTCTTAAATGGTTGGGTTGTTTTTTTAACTTGGTTTATTGAAGAGTCAATTTTCAAGATTCATCAAATCAATAAGGTAAAAAGGAAAAGAAAGATAAAAGAAACAATAACAGTACATTCCAATTTACTTTGGTGATGTTGGCCTCAGAGGTTTCTGTGCTGGCAAGAAGCTCGAGGTGGGAGAGGAGAGGCTGCCTCCTAGGCTTCCACATGTGTCCCCTCCACAGGGGCTCTGGGGGGTCTCAGGCCTGACTTGTCCTGCCCCAGGTGCCCAGGCAGCTGTGCCACCTCTGTCGGTCTATGGCCTCTGAGTTGGGATCTGGGTGGTTGCTGCTCAGCTCTGTCCCTGAAGTCCCAGAGGGCAGGAGGCTGAGCCCCACCTTTGACAGTGACAGGAAAGACTGGGACAGCCTGGAGGTTCCAGGGTGACACTCAGGCTGTGGGTTTTTGTTTTCTTCTGCACACTTGAGAGTTCTGCGAACTTCTTCAGGGTTGCTGGTGCGCCCAGGCCCCACATAGGAATGTCTCGGGCTGGGTTTGGCCAGGAGGAGCCTGGCCCTGAGCCTGGGCCCCAGAGACAGCTGGGACCTGGGGGCTGGGATGGAGACTCGTGAAGAGTGTATTGCTAGAGAGGGTGGAGATGCCCTGCCAGGGAGTCCTGCAGCTCTGGACAGGCCCTCACTCCACCCCACACCCCCATGTCTCCTGCAGACAGCTCACCCTGGGGGTCATGCTCACGGCTGTGTCTGTTGGGGGGCAGTCCCAGGCTGGCTGCAGGACGGACAAGAGAGCTGGACTCCTCCTGGGGTGGGGCGTCTGGAAGGGGGTGGCAGGACGAAGTCTGAGGCAGTCACTGGCCCAGCTGACTAGTGCAAAACCCAAGCAGGGTGCTGAGGAGGGTGTGGGAGGCGGGCGGTGCCCAGGAGCTCGGGCACATCCCAGGCGGTGACTGGCACCATTCCCCAGGGCCAGACCCAGAGAAGGGCAGCGTGGAGGGGAAGTGTTGGCAGAGAAAGCCCCATCCCTTCCCACGAGCAGACCTGGGCGGACACAGGGCCGAGGGTGCCATGGCGCCCCCCCCTTGGCCTGCTCACTCGAAGGTCTCCCACTGCCTCCGGAGCTGCTCCACTGAGCCGGGGGCTGGGGCCGAGGCTGGGCTCACGTCTTGCTTGGTTTTCTGTAACAAATCCTCAAAGGGGTCTCTGGCCTGTGGAGGAGCAGAGGGCTGCAGTGCTGGCTCCAGGCCCTGTGGGGGTCTGGGGGGCAGGAGTGGGGGGTCCCCAGGCCTCAGGGCCAGCCCCTGCTTGGCCTCCGCAGCCCTGGCACTTGAGCGGGGCAGAGGCAATGTTCGGATCCTCGACGGGGTGACTAAGGGGGGTCCCAGAGGCTGCAGGGGGCTGGTGTGGGTGCCCATGGGTACCTGGCCAAAGAGGTTGGGCATAGAGAGGGCAGACAGGTTGGGCTGAGATCTGTGAGGAGCGCAGAAGCCAGCACTGGACAGGAGGAGGCTGGGTGCAAAAGCTGGCCCCAGGGGAGCTGGAGGGGCCCCAAAAGGGCCAGCTGGTGTGGAGCCCAGGGGCAGGGTAGGGGGTGCTACGGGCACAGATGGGACAAAAGGGTTGAGTGGTGGCTGTGGGAAGGGGACAGGGGTCCCTGCAGTGGGGAAGCTGAACTGGGGGGTAAATGGCGTGGCCGAATTTGGGGCGGCAGGGTATGGTGGGATGGTGTTGCCTGACCAGGCAGCGTTGAGTGGGTCCAGCAGGGCAAGCAGGGCATCGCTGCCTGTGCCTGTAGCTGCTGGGGCTGGGCTGAGCGGCTGTAGTAGTTCCGTGGGACCTTGGGGGGCCACCCTGGGGAGGAGCCCCGGGAACAGGGCAGGGCTCAGAGCAGCTTGCCTTTCCAGGTCTGCTGAGCAGTCCCCAAGTGCGCTACTGGCAGCTGGGAGCTTGGCCTGGCGGGCGGTGGGCGGTGGAGGTACAATGCCCAGCTCTGGCGTCTTCCTGCCCTGTGGCCGAGGGATGGTGATGCTGCCCGGAGTGGGGGTGGGAGCCTCCTCCTTGTCGTAGGGGTTCAGGATGCTGTCCCGGGCCTGAGGCCTGTGAGGCAGGCTTGGGGAGTTCCCCAGCAGAGTCGAGGGCTTCTCTGGGGAGGTGGTGGGGGGCTTGCTGGGGATGGCCATGTCATCCTGGCCCAGGCTCCAGAGCTTGTTGTATGGGTGGGCCAGCTTCAAGGCCATTGTCATCCCAAGGCTCCTCTCGCTCCTGCCCAGGTCCAGCCTCTGTTGGAAGGGAAGGAGGGAGGTGGTGACCACGGGCTGATGACCAGGACAGATGGGTGGAAGTATGGGCCACTCCTCCTCCCTCCTGGGTACTGGGTGGGGCAGGGACTGAGCTCGCCAGGCATGAGGCCAGTTAGCTCCTGGCACTGGGAACGGACTGGCACTGACTCCAGGTCACCAGCCAAGAACCCCAGTCTGTCTGGGCTCCGAGCTCAGGCCTACTGTGTGCCACAGGGAGATTTGAGAGGACACTTGACCTTTTGCACTAGTGGTCATCATGCCACATTATTTTAGAAAGAAGACACTTATCTTCTGCCCTTCCACTGCTCTGACCCCTTTTACTTTTCAGAGCAGGTGGCACCTTTGATCACATCCAGGAGGGCATGGCAGGCTTTGTGCCTGGTTGAGGGCACCCTGGTGGTAGAAAGAGGACCAGATTTGAGTCTTGGCTCTGCTATTTCCGAGCTGCTTGACGTGGGGAAAATCGCTCCCTTCTCTTGCCTGAGCCTCCAGCAGGGCAGTTCACATGCATTATGGGACATATGGGAACAGTGTGGATTCCAGTGTGACCCAGTGACTTCAAGGTCAGCACTGACAGGGGATGTGGTGGATGGGAAGTCACAATGGGAGATCAGTGGCCACATAGGAATAATCTAGAATCCATCAGGAATTTTGACCGAAAGGCTCTTCCAGGGAGCCCTGGCGGGGATGGGAGCAGTTCAGGTCCAGCAGCGGCCAACGCCCACCTCTGTCTGACCTAGAGACAAAGTAGATTTCCACCTGGGCACTAGCATCTTCTCTAGGACCCCTCTTGGGGTCTGTAGTCACCCTGTCCTCTAAGCATTGGCTGAGGACTTCCTTCCTTGGTCTCTTCCACTGTGGCATGGGGCTCTGACTCCTGTGGAAGGTGTGGCAGCAGATACCTCCCTGGTCCCTGCTATACCTGATACTCAAAGGTTCCTGGCTGCTCTCGCAGGTCTTTGGGGACTCGAAGGTCCTCGAGGCTCTTGGCCTGGCCCAGCGGCTGCAGCGGGGCCTCCATGTCCAGGCTGCTGAAGACGTCTTCCAGGAGGTCAATGCTGGCAGCCCGGTCAGGGGGGCCAGGGACAGGAGCCCTGGGCTCCTGTGACGGCTGCTTGGGACTCTCTGCCTCATCACCTGCGCTGTCTGACTCCTTGAGGGTCCGATATGGTTGTGGCCTGGGAAGAGACAGAGCAGGCTGGATTCTCCCACCCAGGGAGTCCATGAGGGAGCAGGCAGCCCCCAGGGACCATGCCCAGGAGCCCTGGGGACAGGACAGTGTCCTGGGGCTCCTGTGTGGGCTGGAGCCTGGGCAGCAGCAAGGCAGGAGCCAAGCACTCTGACAGAGCAGGGAAGAAGCTGGCTCAGTGCTTGCTGTGGGGCCTGGACGAGTCACACTGGCTTCCACTAGCCCTGAGGGGCCTACTTAGTTCCCTCAGAACCCTGTCTTTTCATACAACTGCTGGGAATAGGACAGGACCAGAAGGAGGAGGATGGAGAGGGGGCAGATATGCTCCTGTTTCCACCCTGCTCTGCCATTTGGTGACTGCCAAGTAGCCAGAGTCAGGTGTAAACAGCTGGTGGGGAGCTGAGCTGGAAAACTCCCCAGGAGCAGCTGTCTGGCCTGCCCAGGATCCTCTGGGCCCCCCTCTGGCCTCAGCTTGTGCTGACCTCGGTTCTATCCCTGGCTGGGGTGTCTCTTGCTGTCGGAACTTGGACAAGTCACTTAATGTCTCTGAGCCTCAGCTGCTTAGGAGGTGGTGGTGACCATGTGAGCCAGTGCAGGGCCTGGAGTGTCACAGGCAGGCAGAAGCTGGTGACAGCAGCGGAACCCACCAGCAAGCATGGCTACCACTGTGCTGCCAGTTTTCTGTACGTTTCCACATCAAGACCTTGCATGGGAGTTGGGGTTAGTTAACAGGGTACCCAGGCCCCACTGGTTACACGGAGAAGCCATGCCCAGGTGAACCTGACCTTTAGTGGTGCCCAGGCCAGTGCAGCTTCCTCCTCTAACTGCCAGGCAGGGGCAGGCTCAAGTGGGAGTAACAGTACCAGTGCTCTTGTTGCTGGTAAAGTGGAGGGGAGGCACCACCTGCTGGCCGCGAGTAGGCTCACACTGAAGGAACCAGGCCAGCAGCAGGAGAGCAGGGACTCCAGACTGCACCATCCTCCCCAAGCAATGTCAGCAGCTCAGGAAGCAGGGCCTGCACCCTACCTTACATTTGAGGGAACGGAAGCTCAGAGACCTGAAGTGACTCACAGCATTCGACAAAAGGTAGAAATGGAAGCCAAGTTTGGGAGACTCCGAAAGTCCTTCGCTCACTCTGACCCAGGAATTGAAGATCCTTTAACTCAAGTTTGAACACAATGAAAGGAATATAGAAAAGCCAGGAAACAGTGTTCTTTTAACCCTTTTTCTGTTGATTTTGGATGGGCCAGTTTCTTTTTAAACACACACACACAGGCCCATAACTGAGGAGAGGTCACGGGCTGAGGAGGGGAGCATGTGCACTATTTAAATAACCAAAGCACCATGGGGCAGGGCCCTGGATCCGCCCTTCTGGGTTCACTGGGGAGAGGCTGTGGGCATCACCCAAACAGGCTGCCTTTCCCTGCAAGGTGATTTTAATTGGACATATGGATGTATGTTTCTTATGCCCGTGCATCTTTGTTCTAATTAGTGACAGAAATAATAGCTAACACATAAACCTATGATATCATGAAGACTATTGCCTAGGACAAGGCTAATTTTGAAAACACTGAAAAGAAAAACTTGAAGATTAATGCACAGAAAAGGTGGCCTGTGAAGCTGGTGTAACCTGGACTCAAGCTGTGCGCAGTGGGAGGGGTCACAGGTGCGCTGGGGGAGGGAAGGGCTGGGATGCTCCTCCCTCAGGGCAGGCCCAGTCCATGAGGCAGGGCAGTGCCCTGAAGAATCCGCAGCCCTTGGGGAGGTCTGTGGGTCTGGGAACAGGTTGATGGTAAAGGTGGGGAGAAGACATCCCTTTCTGCGAAATGCCAACAGTTCACTCCCTGGAAGGGTGCTGTGCGTTGGGCACACGGCAAAGGGCGGTTCCCGGTCCTTAAGGGCTCCGGCTACAAACATCTGTGTGACTTTCTAAGAGACAAGAAACCAAAGCTGTCTCTTTGTTCAGTCCTAGCTCTGAGAAACTTGTAGGTGGAGGGGTAAGAACTGGCAAAGAGAGAGGCACTACAGAAGATTAATTGGGGGTGGGTGGCTAGCTGAACCTTTTGAGCCGGGTGTGGTGACACATACCTATAATCCCAGCATTCTGGGAGGCTGAGGCAGGAGGGCTTTGAGTTCAAGTTTGGCCTGGGCAATATGAGACCCTCTTTCAAGAAAGGGCTGGGGATGTAGGTCAGTGTGAAGGCCCTGAGTTCAATCCCTAGTAATGAAAAAAAAAAAAAAAGAATTGCTGTTTGTAGCCAGGCATGGTACCACACACCTGTAATCCCAGCACTCTGGGAGGCTGAGGCAGGAGGATGTCAAGTTTGAGCCCAGCCTGGGCAAATCAGCAACTTAGCAAAACTCTGTCTCAGAATAAAATAAATAAAAAACAAAAAATAAAAAAGGGCTGGAGATGTAGCTCAGCACAAAGACTGATTTTTCATTCAATCCTATTACTGCCAAAAAAAAGCGCTATTTGTAATTAGTATGGGGCTTATGGTTATAAATAATACAAATTATATGTTAAAAAGTCAGATAATTAGAATATTTAGATATGCTGTACTAATTAATATACATATTCCACTTGGGCATGGTGATATACACCTGTAATCCCAGCTACTCAGAGGCTGAGGCAGGAGGATCATTAGTTTGATCTCACCTGGACAATTTAGTGAGACCCGTCTCAAAAAAAGGGTTGGGGATATAGCTCAGTGGTAAAGTACTTGCCTAGCATGCTTGAGGGCCTGGGTTCAATTCCTAGTACATCAGAAAAAAAAATGTTAAAACCCCCCACATTTTTTTTAACTTAAAATCTGACTTCCATCTCCATGGCTTTCCGTGCTGTGACAGATAAAGGAGGACGCAGGCATCACCAACCAGGTTCCTCATAGCCACCAGTTCCATTCATAATTGAGTTCACTCCCCTTATAAGGATGGGGGACTGGCACTCCCACCTGAGCCTGTCACCTCCCTCCACCCGAGAGGAGCCTCGGGGGCACTCGCACCCCAAACACCCTCCCTGCACACGAGAGCAAGCAGCACCAGCCCCACGCCCCCATGCGGCCCGAGAGTCACCACACTGAGCCCGGGGAACTGGAAGAAGGAAGGAGAGACCATTCAAAGGGAGCGGAGAAGAAAAAGCTTTCGGTGAAGCCAGCGCTCGGGGCCTCTTCCTGCTGGCATTCATCGTCAGAGGAGTCTTCGGAGAGGAAGACCGCATAGTGTCGCAAGGGCTTTACCAGGCTGGGGTGGAGGAAGATAAGAGAGAAGAGAATAGGCAGTTAGGGCACCGTCAGGAGTCGGTGCACAGGGTGGGAAGGCCACAGGGCACCACAGTGAGCAGAAAGGGAACTGGCTGCCATCTTTGTCAAGAGCCCCAAGCTCGAGATGCAGTCACCTATGACCTAGTAACTCCACTTCCACTAGAAAACCCTACACACAGCAAAGAATCTTGGCCAAAGATGCTTGTCACTGCTGTTTATAACATTAAAGCATGAAACCAAGGCTGGGGATGTAGCTCAGCAGTAGAGTGCCTGCCTACCGTGTGCAAGGCCCTGGGTGACACCCCCAGTACTGCTAAATAACAAAGTAAGATTATAAATTTAAAGAGCAAAACAAATCAAACCACAGAGTCACTTAGCTTTCAGGTAATAGGGATCTGGAACAATCGGCTGAATGTTACCCTCCCACTAAAAATAACATTTGTGAAGAAAAATTTAGACGTCAGGATGCAGAACTGCAACGTTTACAGTAGGCTCTCTGTATCTGTAGGTCCCACATTTGTGGATTCAATCAGCTGTGGGTTGAAAATATTTGGAAAAATGGGCTGGGGATTTAGCTTAGTGGTCCCGACGCCTGCTGTGCAAGTGCAAGGACCTGAGTTCAATCCCTGGTACCAAAAAAAAAAAAAAGAAAATATTTGGAAAAAGAAACTGCATCAGTACTATCTCCCGACTTTGCCCCCAGCTGTTATATTATTTCCTAAACAACGCAGTGTAAGAACTCTTTACAAAGCATTTACATTGGACTGGATACAACAGGCAACAGAGAGATGATGGCACGGCCTCCGGAGGATCACACTGGATCTGTGCAAACCCCACCCCAGTTCGAGGCAGGGGCTTGTGTATCTGTGGATGGTGCTGTCTGGTGCCAAATCTCTGAGGACATGAGGGATGTTTCCTCCGGTCATGGATGGAAGAATACACAGAAAACAGACCAGAAGGGCAGGCGCCTAAATGTCAGTAATAGCTAGTGGGATTATGGGTGACTGTCCTCACCTGCTTCTTTTTAGTTTTCTACAATGAGCATACCTACTTGAATAATCAGGATAAAAGAAAAAAGTTAAAGAAAAAAGTGAGCCACGTGGAAGAGCCCTCACGAGAGGGTCCTTTTCTGATTAGCAGCCACTCTCTGGAGTCTCCCCTGGATGCTTCTTCAGAGAGTCTTTTTCATCTGTGATGTGGAAATTAAATATTCATTGTTATAAAAAATACATCTCCCTTGTTAGCCACCTGTGAGCTCTGTCTCTATAAACAAACACATACACAGTCCAGAAAAACCCCACGCCTGGCTCCTATGAATTATATACTGACCAGGGCCCACAACAGGCCATGGGCTCAGGACAGAGAAGCTGGACCTGCTTTCAGAGGATCAGATCCTGGCAGTGCCAGGCAGGGGGAGTCCACACCCTTGCCCCACTGAGTGGGCTGCACTTGTCCTGAGGATCGCAGGAGGCAATGGGAAGTGTGGGGAGGAGCCACAGGTGCCTATGTGGGGCTGGTCCTCTCCTCCCTCATCAGCCACAGTAGCCTCCTTCTGGCGCTTTATGTCATGGGATTCCTTTAAGGTTTTACTTCATGCAAGAACAACATGGTCCAAAGAAGCACAGGAAGACACGGCAGGCGGGGGATGCAGCTGCCCCCAGGAGAGGGAGAGGGCACTGGGCTGGGCTGGGCAGGGATCTGGTGTCACTGCTGCTGATCTAACACTGGCTCCCAGAGCACCTCAGCCTTGGTGCTGTCACGCCTTTGTCCTCCTTTCTTCTCACTGTCCCTGCAGGGTGGCCAGGCAGTTTGTCCTAAAACGAAGAGGTGGTGTAGGCTTCACAGGGAAACAGCTAGCTGAGGCCCTCCTCACCTCCATGGCTGCTGGGGACCAGGCACAGCTCAGCCCTTCCTGGACTAGAGAGCCTTGGGCCCAGGACAGGTACTTGCCTCTGTCCCAGTGCAAGGGCTGGCGGATCTGACTCAGGACCATACCCGGCCAGCCTAAGGGCAAGGCCTGGCTCCTGCTGCTTCCACAGCAAAGCAGGTCACCTCCACACAGCTACCAGAACCTTGTTTTGAATCACAAACCTGGTCCTGTCACTCCTGCTTAAAATCTGCAAATCTGCTACTCTCAGTTGTGATTTTGCAGCATCCACCCTGTGATGAGTGAATCCAGAGTGAACAGCGAGGAGGAGGCACATTCAGACTTGCAGGATGAGCTATCTGTTAGGGGGGGCACTGCCACTCTCCAGCAAGGGATTACACCTGTGGAGGTGAGGAGAGGGGGTGGTGCATGGGTTGGCCAGGCTGTTGGGTGGGGGAGAGGCTGCTCCAGGCTTCAGCACTGCCTGGGCCTCTACCTACACTTCAGCAGTCAGGTACACAGGGTAGGCGGAAGCTTTGGGAAGGGGTTCCAAACAACATCCACAAGCAGATGCTGTGCCAGCACTTTGCATATGGTATCCCACTCCTCCAACAGCCTCACAGGAAAGACTCACCAACTAGACGTGGAGGCCTTCATGAGTCCATCCATCCATGCACCCACCCCTCCACCCATCCACCCATCCACTTGTGCTCCCAACCAAGATGCACTACTCACCTCACTGTGAGCAGACCCAGCACTGGGTGAGCATTGGGGTCACAGTGAGGGACAGAGATGTGACCCAGTGACTTGGCCGGAAGTGACAATCAGGGATTCCAGCCCAGGATGTCCACCCCTGGAGCCCTTACTTTCCTGACAGAGGGAATGGCAGTGGGTGGAGATGAGGGAGACGCCAGCCCTGCACAAGCCAGTGGAAGGAGGCCCCCAGTGGTGCTCAGATCCATCATGGATGCCTTTCTTTTCTTTTCTCTGCCCCTCCCCACCCCTACCTTTCTTTTTTGCAGTACTAGGGATCAAACTCAGGACCTTGCACTTGCAAGGCAGGTGCCACTGAGCTAAATCCCTGGCCCCATGGATGCCTTTCTGACTCCCTCCTAAGCACAGCCCCCTCTCCTAGCTTTGACGAGGAAGCACAGATCACAGCTTGCGTGTTAGCTGAATGCCACTAAACCTGCCAGGAATTTCTGGATTCCCAGAAGAGCAAAGAGACTTTGTGCAGGACCGCAGAGCCCCCGGCTTCATTAAGTCAGGCTGCTGAGGTGCAGGTCACGTCAAAACCCAGGGTGTCCCACACCGTGTACCAAGTGGGGGTGGGGGTGGGGGTGGGGTCAGGGATAAGGGAGGAAAGGAAGCCTCACTTCGCAGCCCACAAACCAGGTTCCGCCCCTAGCTGGCTTTCCTAGCCAGGCTAGGCTGGTTGGGCACTGGCTTCAAGAGCCCAAAGGAATCTCCAGAGAAATGGGGCACCGGCGTGAAACCTGCCACATGATCTGGTCAGATCAGAACTTTTTCATGTCCATGCCACATATATGGTGACCTAGAAGAACTTCCAAGCATCGGGCGAAACAGTATCCATACAATTTTTCACTAATTCCTCCTGTCAGACAAAGAAGCCAGGGCTCAGACTGGGGGAGTCCCTTGCCTGGGGTCACACAACAGCTGAAAGTAGAAAGAGGAATTGAATCTAGATTTGCCTGACTCTAAACAACCGTGGGATCCTGCTTTTTCAGTTTTCTGGATCTGAAACAATGAAATGAGAGGTAGAGTGTTTCCCCTTCCACTTTTAATGAAAGGTGAGATTTCAAAATAAACTTATTTAAATTCAGCTGCTCATGTTCTCCCATGAAACATATAGTCAGATATTTGTCAGAGATAAAGGATGAACCATCGAAAACGTCCAGGTTTAAATTTTTTATTAGCTTAAGGCAGAATACGGGAAAAAAAATGTACCTCTTCCCTCATTAACCCAATTCAGCTACTACCCTGCAGTCTGCCACCCACTTGCCCGGATTTTATTACACACAAAGGGCTGTCTGTGAAAAGGCAGGTCGTGTCGAACCTGGCTACCCAGTGAGGGCTGCTGCCGTCTCGGTGCAAAAGAAAGGCTCGCTGTCCATCACGGCTTGGACCTCGTCATCCCCGCGGCGGCCCCCGCCTCTGCCTGCCGAGCTCGGTGCGGAGTTCCCATGCAGATGACTCCTGAGCCCTTTCTAATGTTTGGTTTAACGTGTCGCTGGTTAGCGCGCGCATGTGACAGTGGTGACAGGCGAGGCTGTTCCTTTTTAAATACCATGTCAGAGACACGGCGTCAGGAAGCGGGGACATGCTCTGTGCTCTCCACCGTGCCAGGACCGCACCGGCTTATTTTTTAATGAGGAAGATCTGCATCTCGAGAGTTTTTTTCATGTGTCACATCGCGTGGACAAATCAGCAGCACATCACGCTGGCCCAAAATGAAATGCTGACAAATGTAGATATTTCAAATTTAATTGACATTTAAATGTACTTGAGATAAAGATGGGAAGAAATCAGCCAGGACTCGGTCTCCCGATGTAATGAAGGAAAGCCAGTGATCATTTTTTAAAGGATCATTTCGCTCCAGCACAAAGGGTCTTCACTTGGTAAATGGCTTGGTCACGGTGCATTCCTGAGATGTGGCTCCTGGGGGTGACAAGCAGGGAGAGGCCCCAGGACGAGGCCAGGTCCTGCCTGCCCAGCTGATGCCTGTCTGTTCATCTTTACCGTCCCCCTCTTCCTATCCAGGGCACTTGGAAGTTACTTTACCTCCCCAGACCTCAACTTCTCTGTAAAACAGAGCTTCCGCAGCCCTCCTGAAAGGCTTCGCATGAAAGTTAAAATGAAAATATTTGCAAAGGACTTTGCATAGCGCTTAGTGCATTGTGAATATGCACTCATTAATCACGTGCCACAGTCACCTGACAACCAAGAGACGAGGCATCTGTGTCCTGTGCAGGGTCGTCCCTGGATGCTGAGGATGAGGAAGGTGGTCCCTGCTCGTCAGGGTGAGGGGCCCCCAGCTGGGGATATGTCAGCATATGGAAATCACCTGAGACCCTCACTCGGCTTTTCTCTATGGCCAGGGCCCAGGCTCAGTGCTCCGGACCACACCTTAGCAATGCATTAGAATCTAGCAAAAGACTCTGGAGCAAGACTGAGGGTCTCAGGGAACCTGCCTGGCTCAGGACCCTCAGAGGAAGCTAGACCTAGACTGGAGCCCGTTGCTGAGCGGCCCAGGGAAGAAGCCAGGGCCACTGCAGTGAGGGAGAAGAGCTGGAGGCAGGTGCAGAACAGCACACAGACCTGTGCACTCTGCTGCGAGCACCCACTGAACGGTGAGCAGAACCACCAAGCTGTCACAAGGCGCCATCAGAACGAGAGGGCCTTCTGCTGTCAGCACAGATGTAGTGGCCATGGGTGAGTGTGGGAGACCAGGTCGCTCCAGCTCTGGGAGTCCTGCTGTCCCGGGGGACTGTGGGGGGGGGTCCCTGGCTCAGGGGCTCTTGGACAAGGCTCTCTGGGGGGTAATGTGGGCACTGGGCTTTTCACCCCAAGCACAGCAGACTGTTCTATGGCCTGGAGGCAGCACTGAGAGGATGAGTGATGGCATGTGATACTGGGCTGGAGAGTTCAGAAGAGGATGGAGGGGCTGGCAGAGGGGGGCCCACAACCAGCACAAGGCCCGAAGGCCATGGGCAAGGCTGGGGTGAAGGGGCCTCAAGGTGGCAGGGGGTCAGGGCACAAAGCTGGACACTCCCTGGTTTTTCTCCTGGACTGGCTGTGCCCTTTGCCTTTCTTACCTTCACTCATGCATCTATTGAATTATTATCCAACCAGTATCTTCATTCAGTCATTCCTTCTTTCAACAAAATTCACCAGTGCCAATCTCACGTGTCCAGATCCTGTCCCAGAGTGCCCTGAAGAAGTCCTTCCATGAGTGCCACCAGATGGGCACTCACACAGGAAGAGGCCCAGGCACGGGATGTAGGCTTCACTCTACTACCCACAAGCTGGGTCTGTGCTGGGGGAAGCTGGGGATGGGGACACGTTGGGGGCACTCTCCTTGACTGGAAAGAGACACTGAGACTGCAGAAAAATTGTTCCTTCACTCTGAGAATGGTCTCTGCCTGCCGAGGGCCAGGGCCAAAGTTCAGGACTGAACTTTGGGGACCATGGCAATGGTGGCGGAGGTGAGAAGGCAGCACCTGTGGGACCCAGCAGCCCTGGGTACACATCTGAGCCCGGGGCCAGTTGCCCCGTGCATTAGAGTCTTGGCTCCTCAAGGCTGGTGCGGCTGACGATGCCTGGCTGTGAATATTTTGGAGGTGCAGGGAGGTTAACCAAGATAATGTGTGTGAGGGTACTGGGCACACAACAGGCCCTTTGGAAGTGGTGGTCTAGAATCTGGGAGAGGCTGGAGTCCCCGAGGGATGACAAGGCCTTTCAGAGGTGACTGAAGTCAGAAATTTCTCAAGGATGGGGCTCCTTTTCCTAAAGCACCCCAAGGGCTTGGTTTTACAGTGGGAACGCACTGCCCCTGCAGTGACAACTCTTGGGAAAACTCCTCCTTTCCAAGTGGCCAGGGTGAAGTGGTGGGGCGCAAAGGGGTCCTGTTTCCTGGGCTGCTGTGGATCACTGGGGCTCCCCGGCAGTCGCTGCTTTTCGAGTCTGGCCTCAGGCTTGGCTTTGTGTCCACGGCTCAGAATCCACCAGCGGGGGGTGGGGCGTGAGTTAGGTCAGGAGCCTCTGGCCCTGCTAATTGGGTCTGTGACCTTCTGCTCGGGTGTTTGGATTCCTGGCTGCTCAGGCAGTGGGTCCTGGCAGCCTGCCAGGGGGTAGTGCCAAGACAGCTGCCCCAGACTCCCTGGGGCCCAGGGCCCAGCTGGCATCCTGGAGACTGCTCCTGGGGCTGATGGCAGTTCCTGGCTTTTACAGGTTCAGGGCAGGCCAAGTGCTGGAAGCTTCACAGCCACATCCTGATCACAACTGGCACCTACTAGGTGCTCTACATACTTGTGTTTGTGGACACCTGCCCCATCTCCAGGGTGCTGGGCTGTGAGCAGGTATTTTCACTGATTTCTGTGTTCATTCCCTCCAGAAACATCTGTACAGTAGTGATCTGAGCTAGGCTCTGGTTTGGCAGTTGCAGAGTCAAAGTGGAAAGATACAGCACCTGCTGGAAGAGCTCACAGACTATTGAGTGGTATGTATGTATGAGACATAAGAGAAAACTAGAACAGCGTAGTTCCATGCTGTATCTGGGGCAGCCTGGGGCCTTGCAGCACGAGGGAGTACTGAGTCCACGGCAGGCACTGCAGGAGACGAGGTGGGGGAGGCTGTGCACTTTGCCGACACAGGATGTGCTTGGGTCTCCAGAGGGCAGTTTTGCAAACCACAAGCCTTGGGACGCTAATAGGCTTCATGTTAAAAAGCCAAGGGCAGGAAAATAAAAAAAGCCAAGGGCAGGAGACCCACCCTGAGCCCAGGGCCGGTGGACTGTGGGCTGGGATGTTGACCCAGGTGTGTTAGATGCTGAAGGCCTCCCTGTCTACCAGGCCACCATCCAAATCTCCGACCCTTCCTCACCTCTTCAGCCCAAACTGGCTCTGGGCTGTGCAGGAGGCCAGAAGTGTCGAGGTGAGGGGGGCACAGCTGTTGTGCCAAAGCAGCACGTCATCTTTGCCGCCAAATGAGTGCAGTCAAGAGAGGCAAAGTGTTCTGAGACCTGGGCTTTGGGCAGGACTTTCACTAAACCGCCCTGGCAGCTTCTTCTCAGCTTAATTTAATCTTCTGGGATCTCGGGATTGGGGTCACAAGGCACAGTTCAGATGATCACTCAGCCCCTCAGCAGCAGGGGCTGGCCGAGTGGTGCATGGACCTCTCCCCAGCTGGCGTAGTTGTAGGGCTTGTCCTTGTCCTGAGGGTTTCCGAGGCCAGCTCGCTGGGTTTCTGGAGTCCAGTCCTGATAACTGGATGGGGTGGTACTATCCCTTCAGAAATGCTATTTAGCACTACAGGGCAGATGTCTTCCCATGTGGCTGGTCAAGTGTATAGGCTCTGGAATTCAAGAGACACGTCTGAGGCTTGCTCTGCTACTAACTAGTTGTGCAACTAAGAGTAGTGACAACACACTGGATGCTCAGCTACTTCTATGAAAGGAGTTCATAATGCCTACCCCCTTCCCCAAATTTCTCATGAGGATTAAATAAAATGATGTATGTGAGGTGCGTAGCACATGGTTCTCAGCTAACAGTACTTGTTAATTCTAAAACTTAACATTGACATAAAATGAACCAAATCTTGGAGAGTAAGGATATTTATGCTGGCCTTTTTCATATAATCTGAAGACCTAGTATGAGGGGCAGCTTAGGCAGACCCTGAACACACACACACATAATGGGATATTTTGTGGACACAAAGGACAGGGGTTACAAGGACACATGCAACAAGTCCAGAAATGAATCTTGTGAGGAAGGTGCAGCTCTGAAAAAGAAAAACACAGGAAAAGGACCAGAAAGGAATCTGTAGAAATATGTAGCTATTGTTGAATACAAGTAGTTGGATTCAGAATGATTTATCTCTTTCCCCTAAGTTTTGAGTTGTCTATTAGGTTACTGAATTATTTTCACAAATAAATAAAAATGAAAATCACTTGAAAAGAGCAGACTTTGAATGGATCTAGCCATGGAGGCAAGCAGGGCAGTGGCTCATCGGGCCCTGGTGGCTGGATCTGCACTATTGTTACTTACTACAGTGAAATTTGAATAACCAGGATGGTCAGTGAAGCCCTTACGTGACAAAAAGGTGTTCTGTGTCTCACCCGTGGGGAGACAAGGGGTATGGTGGAAAGGGCTCAGATGCGCAGGTGATCGGGTTAGGCCCCAGGCCCAGCTCTGCCCACAAGCCCCGTACCCTTGGGATGCAGAAACAGTGGATGTAGGTAACCATCTCCCTCCACACTTTCAGCTACTCTTTGAGGGCCACTGCCCCTGGCTCTACTGCCTCCTCCTAGCAGGGAACAGATGGTGGGCCGCCTGGTAGAGAGAAGTACCTGGGGTCAGTGTGGCCACCCAGCCTAGCCTCAATCTGCACAGTGTGTGTTCTGAGGGGGAGGCCAACCTGATCACACTGCTGGCTTTCTAAGCTAGCTCCTCAACACCTTGCAAGCCAGGAGGGAAATAATGGAGCCAGACACATTCTGGCTGGAAACCAAGGCCCACTCTAATGGGTCTGTAGGTCTTTAGTCCACACTGTGCCCTCCACAGTAGCCAGGTTCTTACTACTCAGAATAGCACAGAAGCATATTAGGTGTTAACTAGGAAGATGGCAGTGAAGAAACAGCCAGGTCTCTGTTATCATACAGCCAATCCCACCACAGCCTGGCCCTGAGACCCTGGGCAGGTTACCGAAAGTCACTTCCTAAGCCTCAGCTTCTCCATGTGCGAAATGGGAGAGCTACCACCTACCTTTCACAATCTCAAGGGATGTTCAGCAAATGTTACTTCTCTCTCCTCCCCCAAGCAGAGACACTATGGTGCCCACTGTTCTGTGGCAGTGGGAGGATTGAAGGGCTCTCTGGTTCCCGACTCTGGGCTCCAGGGAACCTGAGGGGAGGGGTGATGGGCTGGGAAAGTCAACTTAGGACATGGAGCTGTTTCTGGGAAAAGCCAGACTCCAACTGGATCCCCACGGACCCTGCCCCAAGGAGGGCAGCAGAGTGCCAGAGACAGAAAGAAGTAAAGCAGAATTCTCAGTCTTGGCCTGGCCACTTTCTAACGGGGGAACCCCTGGGGACACAAATGGCTTTTCTGAGTCTGAGCTCCCAGGCTGGGAGGTAGCCCCACAGGGCACAGGGCATTGTGCATCCTGCTGACTGGTGTTTAGTTCAGACCTCTCCCGATGGTGAGGACCTTCCACCAGTTCTGCTCTGAAAAATAAGGGAAGGAGCTGGTACTTGGAGAGAAATGGAGACTGCATATTAATCAGCTAATGGTAACTGAAAAACAGAGATGGTTTCTCCGGAAATCTTTCAGAAGTGTTCTTCCTAATGCCAACAAACACCCTGAGAGGGGGCGTGGAAAGATACCCTAGATTCAGGAAGAAAATCTGATGGGTGAAAATTTCATTTTGGGCAAATGCAAGTCCACAAAGGAGTCACCATGGGAACTCCCTTTCAAGGCCTCATTTCCAACATGCTGTTTACCTAGCAGGTTTTCAAAGATAGTTGGTCAATGAATGGACGCATGAATGCACAGATGGAGCAACGGACGGAGGGATATCGTCTGGAAAGGAAGGAACAGACTTCCTAGATGGACTGGGCAGAGAGCTGTGGGCCGCTGCTGCTGGGCATTAATGGATCCCAGAATGCTCAGCGGCTGCAGGGGATACTCTCATTCTTAATCAGCTCCATCTTGCTGGCTCTGAAGTTAATTACAGAATGTGCTATTGGAAGTGAGGGCTCAGGCAAGAAGTCAGAAGGACTGAATCTCCCCCTCAGCTTCAAAGATCCTGTATCTCCTTGTGCCGCCCAAATCCTCTAAGTTTCCAATGCACTTTGATTTTTCCCGGCAGAGATGAAGATCCAGGATTCAAGAAAACCCAGGCCAGATGAAAGGGCCAGGCACCGAGTCCATGTACCCACCACAGAACCACCCTTGACAAAGGCCCATTAAACTCTGGCTCCTGCCTGCCGGCTAGTCTTCTCGAGTCTCCTAACAATGCCGACAGATTGGTGGAGCTGGTTTCCTTCCCCCCAGAACAATATTTTATGAGGAGTCTGTTTTATTAAAATATTTTCCGCTGGATGCTTCCTGTGTTTCAAGAAGTTGGTCTTGCCAGCTGGAGCTGGTGACAGTTAAGAAAAACACATCCAAGTGCTGTTGTGACATGGCATTTGGAAGTAGAGGAGCACGATGGGGGAGAGGGGTGGCAGCATGGAAGAGACGCAGGAAAACACCCAGGTAGCACCAGAAATGGCACTGGCATCATGGGAGCACAGGCCTCCCTTCCTCTTCATTAAGAAAATGTAAAAAGAAACTCTTCTGACAGTGTCCCAAAACATATCTCTCTACCTCTTGGTGGGCCTGAGACCCTGTGAGGGGTGGTCACAGACCTGTCCTTTGTTATCACTGTTGGTATGCCAACTCCCCAAATAAGCCCCCGCGCTCCCACTATTCATCCCAACTCCTGGCACTTCCTGAAAAGAAATCTAAGATGGCCACAGTGCAAAAAGAAACTAAAAGTGACAGCAGCACAGCTCAGGTAACATGGCATTCTCAGACACTCTATAGACTCATCTCCTACTGCTGGGCGTGGAAGAACAACAGCATAAATAAAGGTGGCGAGAAAGTCCAAGCTCTAATCAGGAACCTGGTCATAAAATGAGTAATGCTTTTTGGTAGAATATGGGGTACTTTTGGTCTGGGTGTGTTGTGCAATGCATTCTGGATTTATAGCTCAGTACCTCATGGACCTGCATCCCAGTACAGTGTCTAGAAGGTTTAGCTCACTATTTTTTTTTTTTTTTTTTGGTTTAGCTCACTTTTAAAGAGGTGACTTTAAACAAACGTGGTTAATTTCATCCTGCTCAGGAGAAATCTTCAGGGCCTGAGGAAGTGTGGAGCTATGTTATCAGTCTCTCCACAAGGGGGCAATCATAGTCCACAACAGAGCTCTACCAATATTCTCACTGCCCCATTGTGCACAGTGTTAAATTAAACCTACCCCCAACTTCAGGAGCCCTCTGTTCCAAATTTCACATAACCAGGCATCTCCCAGGACTTGCACACTCCCAGAGCTCTCTGTGCAAGTCTGGGGACCCTAGGGTAGGCTGCTTCTACAAAGACCTGGGAGTCAAACAGTGTCCAACTAGAAAGCAGAGGACCTGGAAGATGTGAAGTGTGCCACACCCTGAGCCAGGTCACAGCTCAACACAGAATCATTTCTTCCTTTTAGCTCCAATTTTGCCCACGCCTGGCCATCTCCCTTAACTTCTGTCCCTGAGAAGTTTTCTGAAAGCAGGCCAGACGTGAAGAGCATTTCCTTTTCCACTCAAAGGACTAATTTTTCTGATTACTCCAACAGCCCAGACCAAGAAGAATTCCTGTACTTTCTAAAGGCATCACAGAAGCCGGTGTGCACCTGCTGAGTTGTCTGGGCAGGGCCCAAGAGTTGTGTGCCTTGGGGACAAAGGAAAGTGGCGTTACTTTCTCCAGACGGCTCTAGAGTCCAGGTGGTCTGCAGCTTTTGGTCTCATGCCATTCAGGGGACTCATTCACCTCATCTATCCTATAGTCACTTGGCATGTGACTGAGCCAGTTCTGGTCCAGGTCCTGTACTCCAGGGCCTGCTCCTGAGGAGCTCCAGGTCTGAGAGGAGAGGGAGAAGAGAAACGGTAACAACACAAATGATATGTAGGGCACAGGTGAGCAAAGGGCCCTGGAGGGGGTGGAGCAGTGAATAAGGAAGCCTCATACACAAATCTGAGCCACAGAGATCTTGCACACCACTAGGCCTAAGAAGGTGGTGGCCTTGTTAAACAGGTGGCCTCCTTGAGTGGTTGCTAACCCTTACCTGAGGACGCCACATCTTTACCATGAGAAGCCTGGAGCCTTCTTTGGAGCTAGTTGCATGCCCTGTGGGCCTCACCACTCAAAACCCAGCCCAGGTGCCAGTGGTTCCTGGTCTCGGGGCCTCCTGCTGATGTGACAACTGGAACGAGCGGAAGGAACAAGCAGCAGCCTAGAGTGAAAATCCAGCCCTACTCCTGACTGGCCTCTTTGAGAAACCCCTCTCAGACTTGAAAGCCACAAAGCCCTGCTGGGTTCCTGCAGGCAGGAGGGGAGCAACGGGTACTCACTGCTCAGGGCTTGAGACGGATGTCCTTCGGCCTTCCACGGAGACATTGCTCTTTGGTCTCTTGACAACATGAGGACGGGGCGGGCGAACCTGAAATGGTCACGGGGAAACCCCCAAGAAGGAATGAGTTGGAAAAGCCACACAGGGACAGTAAGAAGATTTGGATAAGCAGCCCCCAAAGAAATGTTTAGGGATTTTCAAAGTGCAGGCTACAAAAACCCCGCTCTTCCTGGAAACACCACCACTGCACAGTGGATAGACACATAAACCAGACTTCTGTGGCCAGTCAGAAAGGTTCCCCTCAGGTGCAAGACGGGGCAAGTCTCACCAGCTTCCTGTCAGGGCTGCAGCGAAGGTTCCAAGAGGTGATGTCTACAAGGGACTTGGAGAATAAGACCCTTATCCAAGCAGGGTAAAAAAGTTTCCCTCAGACTTGTTTTGGGGGTAAACATAATTATTTTGCTCTTTTTATAACTGAGTTACAGGGTTCTTATTTTCCCCTCTAAATGGGAGGGAAAAAGCAAATAACAGTGTCAGAGAATGCCAATTAAACCCATCCTTTTGCTTCCCAGGGCATCCCTGAGCCAGTCCTCCAGCAGGGCTCAGAAGTCACACAGCTCGAGGGCCGGGGATTTAGCTCAGTGGTTCCGCCGCCTGCCTCGAAAGCTCAAAGTCCTGACTTTGGTCCCTGATACCAAAAAAAAAAAAGTCACAGCTCGTGTGGCCACACTCTGAGTGGAGACCTCGTCGGAGGGTGGCAGTAGGCCTACCAGGAAAAGAACAGCTTCCTAGCCCCACGCCCAGTGCTCTTGGTTTGTTGGTTATTCTAAACTGCCACCTCTGAAACCCAAGGAGAAGGCCCAGACAAAGAAAGTCCCTCCTTCGCCAGAGCTGTAATAGGTGTTAGGCTAAGAATTTCTACGTGTTCTTCGAAGGAAACTCATTTGGTCCAATCAACATTACATGGGTTTACATTTGGCACTGTCATCTCTGACCATTTCCAGCACCAGAGGGGGCCAGGGAGAGAGCTAAGCTAAGAAAGTACCTCTGGATTTCACTGCCAATAAAAACAACTGATCGCTGTGGAGGACGACAGGACACGGGGGCTCACTTTCCCTGCAGATGCAATATTGCACTTGCTGAGTTTCGAGGCCAAGACAGGGAAGGAGAGGATGCATGCGCTCCATTTCCTGCCTGCCCTTTTCCTGAACACTGCCACCCTCAGCAATCTGTGAGCAACACAGCACAATGGCTTCGGAACAAGATTACAGAAGTTGGCTATATACAAGACAAGTCTTTATAGTATTGCATCAACCCCTCGGGTCTGCACATGTCTGATCTAACCAAAGCTTTTCTTGTGGAGTAGCCAGTCTGAGCCCAGCCTTGTTTGGAAAATCAGAGCTGTGGTAAAAGCCAATTGCATTCCACCAAACTTGCTCTGCTTTCTTCCACAGGACCACTGTGAAGGTGTAAAGACAGGGCAGGGCGTAGAGAATGGCCCAGCTTGGGATCTGGAACATAGTGGGGGCTTAATAAATCCTCATCTTGCTTCTCTGTGCCTGGGATGTCCTCGTCTTATCAATCAACAAAAGGAAAATGGGGGGCACCTCTGAATTAGCAGATGAATTTTAGGGTTATCTTCTTCCTAGCCTCCTGCAACGTGCCTGGTACAGTTAGAAGGTCAGGGAGATTTTTAGAAGCATAGGAATGTTGCTGCCTGGAATCTATGAGGCACATAAGACTGTCACTATTGGGCCAGGGATTTAGCTCAGTGGTTCCAGCACCTGTCTTGCAAGCGCAAGGTCCTGAGTTCAATCCTCGGTACCAAAAAAAAAAAAAAAAAAAAGACTATTTTTTTTTTTGTACCAGGGATCGAACTTGGGTCTTTGCGCTAGCGGCAGCAGGCGGCGAAACCACTGAGCTAAATCCCCGGCCCAAGACTGTCACTATTATTATCAGTTACTAGAATGGTGCCCACCCCCCAGAAGACATTTGGTCAAAATTTGCTGAATATATGAATGAATATATCCCTTCCTCATTTTAACTCTGATCTGGTTTCCCTAGCCGCAGCCAGACTCCTCTGGCAAACACAAACAGGACCAGCATGCTAGAAGGATCCCTCAGCCTGCTCCCCACAAAGGTGAAGGCGGGATGCAGCTGGGGTGGAGGAGCAGTTCTGCCCCTGCCATGGGGTGGCTGGGGCCGCATTCCAGCAAGGTCAGACTTTAAGGCCTGTCAGCTCATCCTGCACAGGGCTTCTCCTTGCTACAAAAAAGACGGGTTAAGAATGTGAACTTGTGGCTGAAATAGGGGGATTAAGTTTGTGGCAACTTCAGCTGAACTTGCAACGTGGTGAAACATGGGGAAAAAGAACAACAGAGCTAATTAGACGAGCTGAGCTGTCAGAGTGCCGCTGAATGGCTCAGCGCCAACAAACAAAAGGAATGGGTTGGCAATCAGCAGGATCGATGGAGGAGACTGCTTCATTAGGGATGATAAAACAGACAGAGGGAGAAGGAGGGGGAGGGGCGGAGTGGGAGAGGGAGAGAAAGCCACAAGCGACCAGAGATAGTCACCCTTATGGTTACAGACCCAGCCAGAGTCACACACACACACACACACACACACACACACCTGACTGCCGTGGACAAAGCCAGACACAAAATTATCCTCACAGACAACTGCCCTGATCACCAAGGCCCGGGGACTCCAACATACACACGGTCTCACAGACAGACACAAGGGATGCATGGAGGTGAAGACGCATGAATCTCTCTCTTTCACACACACACATGCACACACACGCATGGTCACCCGGCAGACCACAGCCAGCCAAAGGCACACACAGACAAAATGGTTTAATTAAAGCCTGAATCATAAGATGATGCAGACAACCCCCATCATATTTCAGCAATCACAATCCTTTTCCGGGTGCTTCTTAGGGGTGGGGGCTGGGGAGGAGGGAGGAAACCACTCGCACACATTGGGGTGGACCCACCACTGCTAGGATCCCAGCAGCGCCAGGGGAGAAAATGCTAAACAGGGATTTCCAGCTCTGTTCAAGGGGGACTGGAGAGGAAAGTTGGGAAGCCGGCCAATTCCCACTGGATTTAAAATCTGAGAAATCTTAAGTCGGCAGGGTTAAATGTGTATTGAATACAAAAGCACCGAGTACATTTGATTTTAATGGTGAGCGAGACATAATAAATACAGAGCTTATAAAGTGCTTCGTACACAGGCTGACCACAGCCTGCCTCTCCCCAGCAATCCCCGACCACTGCCCTTGGTTGGTGAGACCCCAGCACCAATTTCTTCTGCTTTTTTCTTTTGTTTTTCATAAAAAACCTGAACCCTGTGTCACAGCTGAACTCCAGCCACAGGTGCGAATCTCGTATGCCGTCTTCTGCTTGCAAAAATTACCAGAGATCGGAAGAGCACACGGCTGAACTCCAGCCACAGGTGGCAGGCTACAAAGCTTCTTCCAGGAAGGCCGAGGGGCCGGGCTCCTGTGCCCACCCCCCTACACCAGTGGCTGCAGTGGATGTTGGCAGCTAAGGGACCCACAAAGCCTGGCTGGGAGCTTGTCAAGCTGTCGTCTTCGAGGCCCTTGAGGAGCCCCATCCCCGCCTGCCTGGGTTTCCCTGGTTCCTGCCCAGAATGGAGTTTGCAGAAATGCAGGCAGGGTGAACAGTCCCTGTGGCCTGGGGACCATGGGGCCTAGAAAGCACACTTCTTCTATGGCTCCCAAATTGTCTCTCAGCTGCTGTGCTTGGCAGTTGTGCATACTCATTTCACACCAGGCATTGTGCTAGGCACTCTGCATATATGACATCATTATCCTCACCAGGTAGGTGCTGCTATACTATACTCATTTCTTAGACAATGAAACTAAGGCTCAGGGCAGGTAAGGATCTTGCCTAAGGCCACACAGCCAGGAACCGGTCAAGCTGTGATTCAATTAAGGGCAGGCCTCTCTGACTCAGGAGCCCAGGGGAGCTAGTCCTCCTAGGCACGTGCCTCCTCAGCACACCAGAAACCAGGGGAAGGGCAGCCCTGAGTAGTGTGTTTGTCATCCTTGCACCAGGTCAAGGGCAGAGGCAGCTGCCCATCAGGCTTCTCTTATGGCAACTTAGGCCTCTCCAAGTGCTTGTGTGCTGGAGGAAGCGGCTGGGGATCCTGTCATCTGCACAAGGCTTCACACTGGTGAGACTATGGAGTCCTCTCCCGCTGTCTCTGATGATTGGCGAGTTTTTCTGAGGAGAGTAACTGTGCCCTGAATCATGCTGGTTGCCTGCCTGTGCTGGAACCCACACCTCTAAGGATGCTGAGAGCGTCCCTTTAAGGCCGGTTTAAGGGGAGGCTGTTTGGTGCGGAATGAGGAGAGGTAGGCCTGGCCTCATAGGCCAGTTTGGCCTCTTGTCATCTCTGTGGCCTTGGCTACAAAATAGGGAAAGGGCATTTGCCTCTTGTAAACTATAATAAGGACAAGTGAGATAGTAAGAATATCGGTGCCCAGCACAGTCCTGGACACATCAGAAGGTGCTCGATATTCCTTAGTCCTCCCTACCTCTGTATCCCTGCCAGGACTGAACATTGCCCTGGTAATGCCACAGGAAGCCCAATTAGTTGCTGGTTATTTTTTCTCACCTGAAGCTTCTGTCGCAGTACTTTATGCTAAGTCCACCTCTGTTTCCATGGAGATGGAGGGCCCAGGGAGCTTGGGATGCTGAAAACACCACAGGTTCTAGAGCCTGGTGATCCCTGGAGAGGGACTTGGGTTAAGTCACAAAACACCTGCTATCTCGTTTGTCACATGGGTGGTGACAACTTCACAGAACTACTGTGGAGCTTAACTGAGGTGAGGTACCTGAGTGATCTGTTGACTGTATAATCCTAAGCAGATGATGGTTCTTAATAAACTGGGCCATTCCCTAGAAGCTGTAAAATGTAAGAACCTGTTCAGAAGAATAAGAATTGCTGCTGTGTTGTAGGGGCTCTGCTGGGTGCTCTTCAAATGTTTTCACAGAAAATCCCTGTGGATGAGGGTCTTGTACAGAGGCAGAAGCAAGGCTCAGAGTTTCAGTCCTTGCCCAAAGTCACACACCCTCACCATTCAAGACTCGTTCCAAATCCATGTTGCTAATGACTGTATGCAAACACTTGCTAAATCATACAAGGTTCAACCCAGAAGGGGCTTCCTGTTTCCCAAAGTGGGCCTTCTTGCTGCTTACGCCTTCCTTCCAGTGACAGTGAGCGGGGACATTCTAGCCTCATGACAGCTGTGCTGACTGGGGTTTGGGCTAATCATGGTTTTATAGGGCCACAGGATGGATCCACTGTCCCAAACGCTGGAACGTGGACTCATGGCTGTCACAGATGAAGCTATCTAAATCCCCCACCTCCACCCTAGCCCTCTACACATTGTGGGAAAGGGGAGGAAATGGCATCACAGAACATCCAACATCCAGCCAGAGAGCAGTTACCCAGTTGATGCTGCGTGCACTCACTAAGGATTTGAGACAGACAGACATATAGTTTGGCCCGCCTTCATGAGATGGACTGGTTGTGCGCACGGGTAAGGGTGGGATGGGTCGGGATGTCAGTTTATGGGGTATTCTGATTGCAGCTGACACCCTGTGCTTGGCCATGGAGTGTAGATGCCTGGGACAACAGACTGGGAAACTTCCCTAGGTAATCAGCCCTCATCAAATGGTCCTGGCAAGTTTCCACTTTAAGGCACCTGCTACAGTTATTACGCTTCGGCACAGCCAAAGTCTGAGCGTACAAGGGAAAACACCCTCACCAATGCTCAATGCCAGACCCATGTCCGATGTTTTTCCATGGCGTTTCCCTTTAAGACACACAATGGGCCTCTCTTCCCCTCCCGCCCCATTCCCAGGTGTTGGTGTATTTATCACACTTTGCCCTGCTTTTCTACTCTTAACTTCACACTTTCCGGGTAGGATGGCTCTCTGTGGGAGGCCTGGCAGGGGTGCAGTACCTGTCTCCATTTGGCCTGGCTCCAGGTTCTCTGGGCGTAGCCTCTGCCCTCGGGAGGGAACACCAAATGCATTTCTAAACCAAGATCTGGCAGGAATGAGACCCCTGCTGCCAGACTTTGGCTTCCCTTGTGAGGAAGAGGCGTTTGGAGCACAGCATTAAAGCTCCTAGGCTAGAAACACGGCTTGCCTGTGAGATCTGCTCAATGATGCACACACCTGGCTACCTGTGCCTCTGACCTGAGCATCATGGAACTGATTCAGAAAAAGGAGAGAGAAGCCCAGCAAATGCAAGTTCAGGTTCATGCCACACAGCGAGGGAAGCTGAGAAACCCAATTCCCGGTTTCCTCTTGCCAGGCAGGAGAGTCCACACTCCCGAAGTTTAGTCAGGTTGGGGAGAATGGCTCAGGCAGTGTTAGGCGGGAGGGCACAACCACCAGCTACTCACGGGCCTTGCGCGCTGTATCTTGGGAGGCGGCGGTCGAGTGGGACGGAGTCTTTGTGGCTGCATTAAAGTGGAAACTTAAAACATCAGTACACACTGAGATGGTTCAATGCATTTCCACACATGGCGTGGGAGAAAGCATCCAGCTACCTAAGCCAGGGCCACAGCACTGTCCTCGACACCCCTGTTCCTCTCTTGCCCTGGCCATCTTCCAAGGCCGCCCGTTTTGCTGATCGCTCAGTTCTGGCCTTGTCTCTGGTCTGGATTACTGCAATCCATTCTGCTAAGATTCCCTCCATCATCTTCCACGGAGGCCAAGGGACCTCTTCTGAATTGTGGTGTGATGATGCCACATCCAGTTTCAAAACCTCTGGTGCCCCTCTTGTCCTGGGGTGGCAACTCAAGGTCCTGGGCCAGAATTCCAAGTCCTCTAATACCTGGAGGTACTTTGCCCCATGTAGACCTTCCTCAACCTTCATCTGTGCCTGCCCTGGGCAGACCTTCAATGTCCTGGGCTCTGGTGCCTCATCTCCTGCTTGCTCCTTGGGTATAATGTTCTACCCTGTCCTGGTTGGCCTGGTAAACATAGAGCTGTCCTTCAAGACCCTGCCTAGATGAGGGGGTGCCTCTAGGACTCCCACTATCCCATACTTATCTGCTACTAGGGATTTACTGTGAAGTATCTCCCTGCCCCCACATACTATCTTTGAAATATCCATTTCCTTGAGGGATCCATCCCTGAGGCTGTAGAAGGTTGTATGGGACTTGGAGAAAAAAAAAAACTTGCTCAATAAACGTCTGATGAACAAATACAATTTATACAAAATGCTTGGCTTTGAAATCAGGATCTGAATCAAAAGCAACAGAGTACAGACTTCTCAGCTCTACCCTCAAACCTTTCATCTCGAAAGCCAAGCTGTGCCCTTTCAACAGCATACCTAGAGGCCCTGAACGCTGTGGGAGATGTGGTAGGCAGAGCAGTGTCAGTAAAAATCTACACAAGGCTGAGACCATGGCCCCCCAGCAAACATCCGGCCTTCCAGTTGGTCCCTGTCCCCTTAGTCACTCAGTTCACAAAGATATGTCACCATTTGTCAACCTTCAGAGCTGTACTGGCCAATACAATGGTCACGTGTGGTAAGTCCAAATTAAGATGTATACTAGATTTTAAAGACTGAGTAGAAGAATGTAAATATCTCAGTAGTTTTAAAAAATGGATTACATATTGAAATGATAATATTTTAGATATTTGGGTTAAATATATTAAATCAATCTCACCTGTTTTTTTTTTTTTTTAACTTTTAAAATGCCTTTACTAGAACATTTAGAATTCCACATGTGCCTTGCATGTGTGGCTCATGTCACATTTTTCTCAGCCAGTTTCACTTGATGGGAGTGAGATACTTTGGGTCTCAAATCTGCCTTGAATCTGCTTTCAAGTGTTTTTTGTTTTTTTATTTTTGGTTTTGGCTGTAGTAGGAATTAAACCCAGGGTCTTCACACTGAGCTACATCCCCAGTCCTTTGTATTTTTTATTTTGAGGGAGGATTCTTGCTAAGTTGCCCAGGCTGGGCTTGAACTTTTGATTCACCTGCCTCAGCCGCCCAGAGAGGTGGGATTACAGGCATGTGCCATCACACCTGGCTTGGAACTCCTTTTCTGAACCCAACTCCTAGAGGACAGGGCACATTAGGCAGGTGTCCCTGGATCCCTGGTGCCCAGCATATGGTCTGCTAGAATGGCCCAAGCAGAAAGTTGGCAGTGGGACTTGGTGGAGGACTGGATTCCCCTGTAGCACATGGAAAGCCATACCCTAGCTGCAGCTCCCTGTAAGGCTCTGTGCATCCGCAGCCAATGGCCCAGGGCCAGCACCTGAGGCTGCTTAGTTCCTACATGGCCTCAGTGGTGCTAAGGCTGGGGACAAGCAGGCAGCTGGGGGCTTATGGGGAGCAGAGCAGTCTTAGATGGATGGAAATGCACTGTGGCTTCCCAGACTCTACACCATTAGCTGGGAGTGGGGGCTGCCCCAGGCCTGGTGACCCTTCTTCATTAGTAGTTACGTGAGGGCTGGATGTCACTTACAGGGATGGGCATGGCTTTGTTTCTTCCCCATTGTGGCTTACAGGGAGGGTGTGGGGCAAAAGGAAATGGAGCCCCTCAGTCACACTGCTCATCAGGAGGAAGAAGAGGACCGAGAGAGGGGAGCCCATTTCTCCACAGTACACAGGCTGCTGCCTTTAGGGCCAGTATCTGCTCTCCCACACACCTGACTGACCCCTGCTTCTCTCATGCTTGGCTGCTCTACTTCTGTTCACCATCTCTCCAGTCCCACTGTCCTCACTGCTTGTCACCTCTGGCCTAGGCTACTTCTATCCCTTCTTGGTGGCAGCCTGGCAGAGTGCTCAGGAGGTCAGACAGGACACCAGCTGTACCACTTGCTCTCAGGCCTACAATTTACCCATCCAAGCCCCACTGCCCCCATCTGTGAAGGGTGGGTAGTGGCACTCTCTACCCAAGGGGGCTCTTAGGAAGATTCAGGAAGATGGTGCACAGTGCCACCACTAGACATTAGCAACTATGACCATTAGCAGGTTCCCCACCTCCAGCCTCTCACTTTCCCAATCCTTCTTCTACACTTGTTTCCAGAGTGGACTGAAAAAAAATACATGCCCAGTCATGCCACTTGCCAGCTTAAATCATTTTGGTGGAAGGCTGAGAAACACTGCCCTGGGAGATGTGTTGTGTGAAGGGAGAAACAGGGTTCCCCAGCCAGACAAGTCTGGGAAATGCTGTTGCTGTCCGGCTCCTTTTGGAGATTCATAGTAAAGGCTGCTGAGTTTTGCAATTAAAAAAACACTTATGAATTATTATTTTTTTTGGTACCAGGGATCGAACTCAGGACCTTGTGCTTGTGAGGCAGGCGGCAGCACCACCGAGCTAAATCCCTGGGCCCCTATGGATTATTTTTAAAAAGTCCTGTGTCCCAAGTTTATTTGTACAGACTTACTTTTCCTACAACACCCATTAATATCCTCTGGCAAATGCAGCCTGCAGTGTCTAAAACTCTTCAGAACATACCCCTCACCTTTGATCGTTCCCCAGCCCCCAACACAGACACAGGCTGCCATTGTCAGCTCACTCATTGTTCTCTTCACCCTGGGGTCTAGCGTGGTATTTGGTACATCACAGGTGCTTAGTAAATGATTTTTGGCTTAAACCTCCTGGGACATGTAGGAACTCAATCAATGTTAGTTCTCTAGATTCCGTAAGTAGCTTATTTTCCTATGATTATCTTACGGAAGTACTGGTTCTTTTGCAATCCAACTTATAAATGGCACAAGAAGACAGTCTCTTGGCCATGCCCAGCCTAGGAGCTGGCAGAGAAAATGGGGGTATTTAAAGATGCCCAGGAGGGTAATGTGGTACAGATGTCCTGGTGCAACCAGATAGATAAAAACAAAATCCAACAAAAGCAACTAAGAACAGGAAACCACACTGCCTGTGTCTGACTTCTGGAGTTTTCCCCACAGGTCATCAGCACTGAGGGATCCAGTCACCGGTGGAAATGGCATGGAGAGGGAGCCACGCTCATTAATTCTGAGCACATTCTGATGCTGAACACAGGACAGGGACATCTTCCCAGTGTGGCCACTAGGGGGAGAAAGGTGAACTCCCAGGGGTTGTGCATTACAGACCTCCCTGGGACTGAGGGGAGAAAGGAAGGGATGTTTGCACTAATTATCAGGGCGCCCTGCCATGCAGTTGTGTGGGCCTTGGCGACTGGTACTGAGGCTGGGGTGAAGCAGGCACCTGGAGGATTACTAGGGGACTGGGTGGCGATCACACGTGGGGAGCGCTTTGAGGTTTTGGGTGCTAGAACAGTCAATCTGTGGAGAGCCTTCCCAGTCCCACCACACAGGCTTTGTTGCTGAGAGACAGATGAACTCCACACCTCAGTGGCTTCAGCTGCGAACACAATCAAGAGCGCCACACTGCAGGGGCCAGGGATGCTGGCATCCTGTGGCACTCATGGAGTCAGCACAATGGACAGTGCCAGGACAAAGCCTCTGCCCTCCAGGGAAGGGAGTGGCAAGGCTCCTTGGCCAGGGAGGCTGCAGTTGCCCAGATACACTCATACTTTGGTACTCGATGGCTTTGAAACTAGTGGAATTTGACACTGGATGCATTTTGATGTGAAAATTTTGTCCTGGTACTTGTTTGTTTGGTTGTTTGGTATTCAATGCACAAGCTAGAACTCGTATCACTTGCCTTGTTATTCGCTTGCCTTTCCAGCCAAAACAATTTGCTTGGTACTTGTCATACCTCTAGGACTTGATTAATGACAAACACCAAGCTACCACTGGGGTAGATGCCAGCTGGGGACAGAGAGAGGCATGGGGAGAGCTGGGTACTCCGGAAAGAATTAGAACAGGCTGTAGGAGTGAGTGGTGGTAATCTAGGTGGGAAGATTGGAGAAGACAGAAGCCAGGGAACGACCAAGTGATGAATTCAGACCAGTTCAACCTCTTCCAGTAAGCAGCCCCAGTGCTTGGGAAGCTGCACCCAGGGTTAAGTGAACGTGGGTACTACCACAGTGTGACGTAGGGAGTGAAGAGCCAGCTGGGGCTTGGTGACGGTCATTACCATGAGCCAGGAGCCCCTCACCCCCCACTGCAACTCCTGTAAGATCCTGGGCACCCACAGACCACAGCCCAGGGCCATCACTGGAGCTTGTTTACCTCTTGGCTGGCTTCAATGGCAGGGAGCTTGTCCTCCCACAGAGACAGAGAGGGAAAAGGAGACCCACTCAAGGCTCTGCTGGTAATGGTCCATGTCAAACCAGGAGCAGAGTGGGCTTAGGCCTCTTAACTTTGAATCCATGCTCTTTCTACTACTGGAGGCAGGGAAGGCAAGACCAGAAGGACTTGCTGGCTGGCTTGCTTTCTCTCTCTTACTTTGTCTTTTTTCTGGTACCAGAGATTGAACTCAGGACCTTGTGCTTGCAAGGCAGGCGCAGTGCCACTGGCCTGCTCACTTTTTTTTTCTTTAATTTTTTGGCT